AAAATTTATATTATACTTTTAAGTAATTAAAGAGATAGTTAAAATAAGAATATATTTTTTTATTTATAAAATAATAAATATATAAATTTAATATATGTAATAAATAGTAAGAAAAAATTAATATAATAAATAAAAAAGAAAAAAAATTTTACTAATATAAAATAATATTATTTATTAACTTTAAAATTTAATTAATTATTTTAATTTTGATAATATTTTTATATTTATTAAAAAAAAGAATTATATTAAGAATAAAAATAAAGAAAAAGAAGAGAAAAGAATTTATTATATTAAATAAAATAGTAAGAAAACAGAAAAGTTTATTTTTTATTTAACATTATAATAAAATTATATATTTTTATATACTTATATATATATATATAATAAAGTATTTATTAATAATTAATAATATAATAATAATAAATATATAATTTATAATTATTATTCTTTTTAAAAAGTTAGAAATTTAATTTTAAAATATATAATTTTTAAGAAGCTAAATAAAATATAATTTAAATTAGTATTATTTAATAATATTAATTTAATTTATATTAATTAATTATATATAAAGATTATATAATCACATAATATAATATTAAATATTATTAATATATATATAATTTTTTATTATTATAATAATAAAAAAAATTTTATATAATTTTATATAATATATTTTTTTTAATTAATTAAAATATAAAAATTAAAATACTATTATTAATTAATTAATAAATAAAATTTAATAAAATTTAAATAAAAAATTCTTTATTAACTAATAATTTTTTTTAATATTAATTATATTATTTATTTACTTAAATATATTTTTAATTCAACAAGTTATAAATTTATTATTTATTATAATTCAAATTTATTAGATAATATTTTATAATTAATCTTAATTATTAATTAGAATATTTAATTATTTTAGATATCTATTTATTTTATTTTAAAAATATTTAATTAAATTTAAGTTGAGAAATTAAAATAATTATTCTATTATATTAATTTTATTATCATTAAACTATTTTATTATTTTATTAGTCACATATTTTAAATCATTATTTTATATAAAAATAATATTATTTTTATCTAATTTATCATATTTAATAATTTTTAATAAGTAATTTATTAATAATAATATAATTTTTGATTAATAATATTATAAATTTATATAATATTTTTAATTTTAAAAAAAAATAATTTCAAATTATAATATTATTATTATTAAATTTAATTATAAGTTTTATAAAATAATTATTAAGAGATTTATTTTTATATTTTCAATAATATTCATGATTATTTGATTTGAATAATATAAATTTTAATTTATTTAATTAAAGAATCTCATTTTTAATTCTTTATTTATTAATTTTTATATTCTTTTACAAAATTTAAATATAATTTTTAATATTTTTTACTTAAATAAGACTTTTTTTATTTAATTCTAAATTAAGCTACTAAAGCTAATTTTATTAATATAAATAAAATATAATATCAGATATATATTAAAATAAAAATATAATATTTTGAATTTTTATTTATTACTATTTCATAATAATTAATAACTATTTTTCTTGTTATATATTTTTATAATTTTTATAAAAGATTTTAATTTTTTTGTATTATAAAATATAATATTAGTTCCTTAATATTATATATTATAAAATTCAATAAAGTATTTTCAGATTTAATTAATAAATTATTATTATTTCTAGTTAATAAAGCTTAAAAATATTTTTTTTAAGAAAAAAAAATTTAATAATAGAGAAAAAGCTAATATATTAAATTTATTAGTCAAATTATTAAGATATATAAGATTAATAAATATCAGAACTTATATTAGTATATTTAATTAAGAATTTCAAATTCAAGATACTATTTTAATTTATATATACAATTAAGTATATAAATACTCTTGCTTTATAAGTAAGAATAAGATTAATTATTAAATTAAAAAAAAGATTAATATTTATATCAATAATTATTAAAATATAAATAAAAAATTTTATGTGAGAAATTACTAAGAATTATAAAAAATAGATGAAAGTTAATAAAAAATTGTAATGTAAAATTGAAAAAAAGATAAAATTGAAAATTTTCTTGAATTTCTGAAATCTTGTTTTATTCATTAAAAGATTAAGTAATTGATTTCATCTCTTATAAAAATATAAAGAATTTTCTTTTATTCTAATTAAATCAATTATAATAAAATCTTAATCTTATAAATTTTTATCAAATATATTAATAATATTATATCAATTTTTTATATATTATTAAGTAAGATTAACTAGCTTATCATATATATTTAAATTATTAAATAAGCAGATATAATTTAAATTTTTTCTTATTAATTTTGAATAATTAAAAAAGCTTTATATTATATATATTGAACTAATATTAGTATGTTGCTCTTCATTAAAATATAAAGCAATTTTATCTTATATTTTTTTAGGCTTAGTAGATAAATCTTTAAATATAATTACTATTTTTTTTTAGAAAAGAAATAATTATTTCATAATAATTGTACAAAAAATTCAATGAACGAGTAACTTGTTCAGACCAGTAATCGAAGCTGTTGTTGCTGTAGTCATTTAGCCCTATTGTAAAAATCAAATCAGCTGATATGGTTAAGTATTGTCTACTTATATGAATAGTATAATCGTAGTAATTCTGTTAAGGTTATTTGTATTATATTAACCAATCACATTTTATGGTTATTCTATAAAATAAAAATTCTTTTGATCCTACACTTGTAAAAAATGTCTATAACCGAAATTGCAACTAATGATACGAATTCAAATAAGAATAAAAATGAAGTGATATCTTTGGTATTAGATTCCGGTTCGCTGATAAAGGGGACCCCAGTTCGTCACTTGGCGGAAAAGTTCTATACAGTGCCAGAGGTTTTAGCCGAAATAAGAGATAAAAAGTCACGAGATTATTTAGCGCAGCTCCCATTTGAGCTTATATCGTTAACTCCATCAGATCAAGCTTTAAAAGAAGGTGCGTTAAAAGGATTTTGCATTTTTGATGATGCTATTTAATAATGGAACATTGATCTTTTTTAGTGATTAATTTTTCGAAAAAGTCCGGTGATTTTTCGAGTTTATCTGTAGTAGATATCAAAGTGCTAGCGTTAACTTATATGTTGGAAGTCGAAGCAAATGGCACCACTAGAATTAGAAAAGAACCAATATGTGCAAGTTTTTTGTCTCTTGTTTAAAATGATATGAATTTGGATCCCTAGTGTCCTTTATTAATTGTCGTTAATTGATTTACATTTTATAGGCGAAAATGATACAACCCGGGGTTTCTCAAACACAGAATCATCAAAATGTGCATAATAAAGGGTTATCTTCATCTGCCGATGAAAAACTAACTATTACCGAAAAAAAATCCGACAAATTGTTACCTGATAAAGAAACATTACAAAAAATACCACATATAAAACAGATTGATAGCGATAAAGATGAAGAGATATTGCAAATGGATCCAGATATTTCTAATATAAAGTCCGATTCTTTTGACGTATATAATGATAACGATGAAAAACGAAAAAATGACGAACAAGGTCAAAATCTGGGAACAGAAGAAAATGAGGTGGATGAAGAAGAAGATGAAGACGATGAAAACTGGATAACACCCGACAATATTCATAAATATAAGCAAAAATCAGAAGGTTTTTCATTGTCTAATGCAAATAATAAACCAGTAATTATGAAAGTTGCTTGTATGACAACTGATTACACTATGCAAGTAAGTATCTTAATTTATGGATTTTTTATCTAATCGAAAAAATTTATAAACTTCTATGTTTTATATTCTAGAATGTAATGCTACAGATGCGATTGAATTTGCTCTCAATTGACGGGATAAGAATCAAAAGGATTAAAAGCTGGGTTCTTCGATGTCATGCATGTTTCAAGTGAGCAAAGAAAAATCATTATAGTTTAATATCATATTTGTGCATAATATTTATTCATACCATAAATACTTAATTCAAATAATAGGATAACATCTAATATGGAGAAACAATTCTGTCCAAATTGTGGTGGCCCAACATTAATCCGAACTTCTACTAGCACCGATGAAAATGGTAATATCAAATATTATTTGAAAAAGAATTTTCAGTATAATCTACGCGGAACAAAGGTACTTTTAATATTTACATGGCCTTTTCCATATTAATTGTCACGAGATTAATTATTCTCGATCGGTTTTTTTTGCATAGTATCCTATTCCAAATCCAAAAGGAGGTCGCAAACCAAATAATCTTATACTACGTGAAGATCAGCCCGAATATCAAAAAGCAATCAAGGCACATCGTAAACAAAAAATCGTGGATATATTTGATCCCGATTATGTCCCGAAATTGTTATTAGGCAGTTCATCTAATAGTAAATCTTTTCCCTCTGGGCCACCCGTTATTGGTTATGGTCGTAGGAATCCAAATGAAACAAAACGCGGGAAAAGTAAAGGAAAGAAAAAACATTAAATCTATCATTTTCATTTGCATCGATGTGAATCTGATGAGATTATGAATACATAATTTATTAATTTGGCCAATCGTTTAGTAACATAAGGTTTGGGACTGGGCAAAGTATTCGTTATAACCGATACTTGCTCTTTCCTTCCTTTTCCTCGTAACATAATTAAATAAACCTGATGATTAATGAATACCCTCGGACTTTTTTCGAATTTTTAATAGTTTAAATTAATGATCTATGTGATATTACAATGCTTTACAATGATAAGCTTTTTTAGATCATCTAGTAAGTAGCCAGTACTGTTAGAATCTTTATTGCAAGTTTATAATAACTTTGACATGATAAATTATTTAGAAGTTAATCGGGAAGTCAATCTTCGTTATCACCAAGGCTGTTACAATCATATGATATGATGGGTACTAATTTGAATATAGTCGTGTGATACTAAACTACAAGTTATAGGCCAATATTCGTAATTTGATTATATGTTAAATTCCAATAAAGAATTTTATAATGTCTTTTAATGAAAATAAATGCTTTGTAAATAAGAATGCAATGTCTACTAAAACGCAAAATGCCATTCACCAAAAGGATTTTTTCCTTCACTTTGAGATGACCCAAATGGAAAGCCACCACCAAAAGAAAAGCCACTTCCGAAATGAGCAAAAGGATTACCATGAAATGGTTGGGATCCACCTGAATTATCATTTGGATCTTCTCCGTTGTCAAATCGTTCCCTTAATTCTAAAGTTAACCACAATAAATAATTTTATCAAATCTGATATCAAACCATTGAAAATATTCGAAAACTTACCATCATTACTTAAAACTTCATAAGCCTCGTTGATTGCACTCATTTTGGACTCTACTTCTTCGCGCGGTAAACTTCCTTTATATTTGTCTGGATGCCATTTTTGTGCAAGTTTATGGAATGCTTTTTTTATTTCTCTTTTAGACGCAGAACGCGGCACGCCTAATATTTTATAATAATCTTTAGATTTTGACGATTTTAAAAGACGATGTGTTTTTTGGTATCCTTTCTTGACTCGTTCATCTCTGCCGTCAATTTCGTGGGCTTTAGTATAATCTCGGATTGCTGCTTCATAATCTTCTATTAATATATATGCTTCAGCCCGGTTAATTAGCGCATCGAGATTTTCGGGGTCGAGATTTAGGGTAGACGAACACCATTTAATTGCTTTATGTCCATTTTTTAACTATCGCAACATATAGTGTTAATGGTTGATATTCAATAGTACATACATTTCAAAAATGATGAAAGACGATACCTCTTGGTAAGCTTTACACGACAATCCATCTAACTTTATAAATAATTTTTCACTTGAACGTCCCTCTTTGAGATTATCATGTTCTTCTTTGATTTCATTAATTAATCCGGGACCTTTCTCACTTCCACTACCAAATAACTTATCGATTGCTAGTTGCCATCGATGCCCTTCCATATCATTTTCCACCCGGGATACACTCTTCTCTAGTTGTTTAATCCGTCGGAGAATTCTTTTACATTCTTTGTGCTCGGGATCATAATGTATGCACTGCTTGATAGCTGTCAGCGATTGCTCAGGTTGATATAATGCAAAATAGTTGATTTTCGACAGGCGCATTAAAAGTTCTGCGTCTGATGGGTTCAATTTAGATGTTTGACTGTTGATAGATAATAAACCAATGTTAATTAAATAAGAGAGTAATCCAAATGATAGAATATAAAAATCCTTACGTTAAATCTCGTACACCTTCCTCCACTTCTCCTTTTTCAAAATGACATTTTGCTCTCTTCAATCTCAGACTTGAGAAATGTGGTGAAACTGAAATTGCTTTACTTAGAGATTTAACGCATTCGTCATATTTTTTGAATTTTATTGAAGAATCTGCCTCTTTGATCGCATCCTCAGCTTCTTTAACCGAAGTCAACTGTATATGAGATGAAAAATTAGTTAGACGTGTAATTAGCATACAAGCAGAATGTAAAATCTTACCAGTTTTTTAGAATCCGCATCCTCTGGATTTTTATTTATATAATTTTTTAAGTCACGTTTGGCCTCAACGTAAGCACCTTCCTTCACATATATTTTCGCTCGCTGTAATAATGCCTATAGAGATAAAAACACGAATTAAATGGAATTCGATTTTGAAACAGATGAAAATAAACAAGCATAGATATATGATTAAATTTAATTCTCACTTGGTCAAAATCAGGTTTAAGCTCCAAAGTCCTCGAAAAGTCTTCTAGTGCGGAAGAACTTCTGCCTAATGACAGGTATGTTGCAGCCCGTTTGAAATAACTCAAGTAATTTCGTGGGTCTCTTTCTTTATTACGTTTATTTTTTTCATAAGCCTTCTATCGATAAGTTTAATAAAAGCAGATAAAGAACAAAACCAGCAACTACATACGAATTGCGGCACCGAAGCTTTTAAGGGCATCGTTAAAACGACCAGAACTTAAGAGAACATTGCCTTCATTAATGTGGTGTTGTGCCGTTTCTTCAGCAAGAGCAATAGAACTGGTGGATAGTAATAAGGGAAATAATGATAAAAAAAAAAGGGGAACCCTCATTTGTGAACTAAAGTAGAAAATACAAAAGTTGGAAGAGGAAAAACAATGACTCGTTCATCTAATAAATAAATTTGGATATAATGACGAAAAAACGTGGTAGGCGTTTATTGGTCATACAAACAATTTTTCCTTAATTTTTCAAGATGCCTGGTACCATTCGTGAAATTTCGGAATCTCTCTCATCTACCAATGAACCTTCTCAATTCCCTCAACTTACCGAACAACACATACTCAATTGCGCCTTTTCTGCTTGGTATGACACTTTTCGAAGAGTCACTCTAAAATCCCAGATAATCAAACCATTGCCAGTTGAGTTTATCGAATACCTTCAGGCCGATAGCGTCTATCTTCCCGAATACAAGTTAGTTTGAAATAGATTATTTTAAAGCTACGAAAACTGGTGTTTATTTAAATTACCGTCAGCAAGCTGTATTATTGCGATATATTAGTTCTCTTGAGAGAGGCTACAGACGAGAGGTAAGCGAGGACGAAGACGAAGAAGACGAGAATGAAACGGAAGACAACGAAGACGAGGAGGTGATTATTGTATGATCATTTTGCCTTTATTTGTTTTTAATTGTAATAACTCGATCCGTTGGGTATTTTAGGAATCTCTCCCTAGTTTTCCTGAACTTGAAAATCAAATATGGGATATAATTAATAAATTTGATGGAGCGGTATTTCCAAAGTTGAATTGGAGTTCGCCTAGGGTAAAACATTACATTGATTCCTATTTTACATATAAGAGTAAATCATTTATGATCCTACACAAATTAAATTCAGGATGCCACTTGGATAGCCGCCACGAATACTCTAAAATGTAATTCGCCATCAGATATCTTTCTCCTACTGAAAGCCTCCGACTTTATTGCGCATGATCTTGATCACGCTTTCGATGATTGTCAGTACGAAAGTGACGAGTCGGTCCGACGAAAACATCCCGAATCATACGAATTAGTATTACGAAAATGGTATGATGTCGCAACGTCGATGGAATTCCGATGTTTTGTCAAGAACAACGAATTGATAGGTATCTGATTTCTATATTTTATATATTTTATTTTTATCCTTTAGTAATATATATATAAACATTATTTTTTCTATAGGAATTTCACAGCGCGATGTCAATTTTTATCCATTTCTCCTTGATATTAAGGAGGAGCTGCGATCAAAGATAACACAATTCTTCATTTTAAATATTCAACACAAGTTCGCAAATAATAATTGTAGCGTGATTATTTTTCTCTTCGAAATTTTTTTCTCAAGTTTATTCAGCTAAAATAAGCCTTTATATATAACAAACAGATGTTTTCGATGTATACATCACGCGAAATCGGGAACGTGTATGGCTTATTGATTTTAATCCGTTTAGTCACACAACTGATAGCCTACTCTATAGCTGGGATGAAATATTAGAAGGCATGCAAATTAATCAATATTTTTTTCGTATTAATTTAATATTGAAAACCATATTGGTAGAGTATATATATTTATTAAGCATATATTAATTGTGCAAACTAGCCACGACACAACTTGATATGCGATTGATTAGAACACAAGCTGAAGCCAGCCAATCCCGAAACCAGCCATTTTCTGTGAACCGTTATCCTCGTGAAATGTTCGATCTTTCTCAAGGGCAGACCTTAGCTGAGTTTGCCGAGAGATTTCAGCGCGAACTAGTTTTTGCTGAGACAGATCAGGAATCAACGGAAAATGAGAATTCTTAAGGATGCTTACAAAACATCAAAGGTATGTTGTAGATTTTTGCTTTGCTTTATCGAACATACAATCATCAATCAAGAATTCATGTACCAACAGTTTAATTTCTAAGTCAGGTCGTTTTATCCGTGATGTAATAATAATAATAATAATTGATATACCAAAAACCGAAAAACCAATAAATTACGACTTGTAATTTAATTAAAAGAATGAATTTCAAAATGGTTTTTCATCATGCTGTATATTATAATATACTAGATCCATAACAGGTGCTTTATAACCGAATCCTGTTATGGCAGCAGAAATCTATTTTTGGAAAAATCTGTTAAATTTACAGTGTAGTAATTTAAAGATTTTTTTATAAACTTCAATTATACAAACCTGCCCCCTATGATGGGTACAATGATTAAAAACATGAAGATAATCGACCAAAGCGTTAGTTTTTACAGTGGCTCCTGATGAATTAGTATACGTCAAGAATTTGTTCTCAATGTCCAAGGTAGAAGGCAACGATGTAATATGATTTATCCATTTGTTTGACTTTGCATTTCAAAAAATTAAAAAATATTAAATTTTATGCAAGTATATTTGCAAATCAAATTTAAGATTATAAACCTGTTCAATAATTTTGGCTGATAATTCTTTTCGATCCGGAACAAAGGACTCCCAATGAGATGATGTCGCATCTTTCGCCAAGGGAACATTACTGGACATCCGCAAAAAATTTGACAATTCTTCATAGTTTTCGTAATTTTCGGTGAATCTGGCGAACCTTTGTTTTATTATTTTTTATTTAATTTAAATTATTTTTAATGTTAGCAAACAATGTAAAGTGAGTTTTACCAGATTTTATCCGCAACCAAAATATGATTAAGTGTCCCATGGATCGAACGAAATATTAATCCAGCATGAGCTCGATAGGAATCTTCCGGAATTTCTGAAACAGAAGTTAATAACTGCTGATTTGCCCACAAATTGTAACGAGCTTGGTTTAGAATAATTTTTTGAACTACGGACATATCTATCTGATATGAAATCAAAAAAAACCCCAATTTCTGCGATAATTTTATTTCTATTTATGGATACTGATGTTAGCCGCCTGATTTGCCCATTAATGCTCTGATTGTATGCAAGTCTTTTCTGGTAACGACATTTGTTCCCTTTTTTTTTTTTTTATATAGCGGTGCATACTTATTAGTATTAGGTTAAAAAAATAAACATTAAAAAAGAAATGCAGTGTAAAAATATTCTAAAGGCGAGGTTTTAGTTCAAAATAGTAAATTTCATATGAAAAAAACGTCATGAAGATTAAATATGATCCCTTGTGGTAATGCAATCATGAAAATTCCTTTTACCACGAGCGAACTGGCCACTCGTAAAAAAAAAACAAAATAATGAATATATCTCTTCCGAATAAATCACACGTTCAAAAAATACCGAATGACCAACAACAAAACTATCAATATTGACTGTTTGAATTTGGTCATTTCAAGACAAAGAACTGCATATTTTCAAGAGTTCCCAAGAGAATAAGAAACGCGCATTAACCGGAAACATACATTTCATAATAAAGTAGTATACATACATGAAACCGTTTATATTTAAAATCGGAATTATGTGTGTGTGAAATGAAAAGAAACGGAGAAATAAAGAGATTAGACCGGGTTTAACTTAACACGCGGGTATTTGTTATATTTTCCTGAATTCGCTTTATTTGGTTAATTTTTCTTCTATTTCATAATTCCATTGAATTATTCTAATTTCCTAAAATTAACTGTATTTATTGAAAAATTGCAGTCTATGTTAAATTTGACGAAATCTTTATTGAATTCTTTAATAAAATTGAATTTCTTTAAGAAATAGAATATTTGATTCATTTTTTTTGATTATTCATGCATATATTTAATTCCTTAAATCCCAACAAGAATACTGCCATAAATATAGCGACAATTTTGTTTTTCTCGTATCTAAGAAATAAACTACCGAGAATCAAATTTGCTTTTTGAAAGAAAACTTGAAATGCTTTATTTTTTATTATTGGTGGGTTCCTATATATTATTTCAAACCATATTTTTAGGTAAGCAGCAGCAACAACAATGATATTTAAGCGCTATTATGTGATATCGTTTGACAGCTGCAAATTCGTCTCAAACAAAATTATAATACCGATAAGTTTTATCTATTTTCGTTCTGACTATGTGCGAATTGTACACGGAAAAAACCCGAACGAAACATACACGTGTGTGCAATCGTTTAATTTTCTTGGGATAAATTTACTTAATTCTGCTTCATCTCTGTGTGCAAACCTGCATTCTTTTTTTGACAGAGATGTCAAAAATTGTGTCCAACCTTAAAAATCAAAGGAGCGCGTGCTCAAGTAATTTCTTTCGTTCTCTTTCATAAAATTAGTTTGTCGAAGATTTTTCGCTTCCTGTCTTTCCTATCTGCACTTTCGTTGACGCACGAAATTAACCAACCAAATTTTATGTCATGTACACAATGTATGCAGATGTAATATTCACATATAGTCTGTCTTTTGTTTTTTGCATCATGTGTCAAAAAAGCAGAATTGCAGCGATATGCAATGCAATAATAACGATAATAATATCGATATGGAATATAATAATAGCAACGATTGTCATGACTGAACAATATTGTATTTTTGTGGGGTCGATGCATATAGATTTGATTGATAGAGTGCAACTACAACACAACAAAACGACCAAATTTCTTTGTATGCATGTGTTCGTGTTTTGTACAAGTTCGAAGTTTTTGATATACTGTACATTTTATTTTTTTATATATGTACATATATATATGTGTGTGTGTGTGTATAAATATATATATTAAAAAAAAATAAAATCTACATGTACAGTATATGCAATAAAATATCGAGATATGAGATATGAGATACTGTGTACATACAATGTATTGTTTAGGAATCTGAAACTTTTTTGAGTTTCGCAATTTGAAATTTTTGGGATGATGATTGTTCCTTTAGTGGTCAGTGCGCAGAAAATTTTTTCAATCAACTTTTCTTAATCTTAATTGAAAATTTTTGCGATATTCAATCTATCGTTTTTATTTTTTTTATCTAATTTCAATATCGATATCATTTCTCCATATCATTGTAATTGCTCATATTAGACATAGACAAAAAGTCGAGATGGAGGTAGAAATTATGATTATTATCCACCATTTCTTCATGCTAATCCAAATTCTATTTACCCCACACAGATATAACAAACATTCAATTGATTTTTTTGTTTGTTTGTTTGTTTTGCAAATTTCATATGAATAAAAAAGTAAAATTCCGAAATTCTAAAAACGATTAGATTTTCTCACGTGTGATAAGGAAAATCAGCGAAGTTCTCGCTCGCGACGCGTCCAACCCAAAAAAACGCGTCTCACTGAGATTCATTCTCGATTTAATTTATACGATGATTTTCAAATTTTTTCATAATATGTACAATTTTTATTAAAATCTTTATAATTCTGTGACGACTCTGTACATTAATATCTCTACTAAGTTAATTATAAATATATGTGTGTGTGTGTGTATATATATAAAAAGGATTTTAAGAATATGGGTATGTATAATATATAAAATAACTAAAGCAAAGCACATCTTGCGTATATATTTGGTTTTTTATGATTTTTTTATGCTTAGAAGAAAAAGATAATTCGTTGCGTAATTACGTAATTTTAATATTTTTCATGGTGGTGTAAATGACGCGTGACGAAAACATGAAATAATAGATTTATAGATCGGCGAGAAAACGTGGTTGCTTTAGCTAGCATAAATGAGAAAGCATAAATATATGAAAGATAACTTTATGGAGAAATAGAGATAGAAAGAAGAATCGATCAGCACTGGAAAGAAGAAGAAACTTTTGATATTTATATTTATATGTGTAAGAGAGTGTATATGATGTCTACTACTATGTACAAAAGTAATCATGATTTAAGGTTATTTGTGTGTTATTTATGTTTATAGAGTAAGGAGATGAATTTTATATATATATATATTTATGTATATATGGAATAACGAATGTCTATTATAAGATTTATATTTGAAGAAGAAAAAAATATCTTACAAAAGCAGCAACAAAAAATATATAAACAGTGAAAATGCGTGTGTAGATTATTAAGATTAAAGACATGGTGGATTCACCCAGAATTATAATTTCTTCGAAAGCGTATGGTATAAAGAAAAATCGTGTAGGGAAAATGAAAAAAAATAAAAATAAAAATAAAAGGATCATCGTTAATGCTACATATTATCTTTAAACTTGATTTTAAACCTTTGATCTTTAATTATTTCCCGGAGATTGACTCTGCCCACCACAGCCAACCGAGAAGACAAAAAAAGATAATAAAAATTTCTCGAATTTTTTTCGGAATGATTTTATTTTATTCGACCGAGAAAAAACAATAGTCGAAATTGAAAGAAGAAAAGAAATAAGAGAGAAAATCTCTGACGCGTTATCTTTAAATTTTTTGGGCGTATTTAAATTTTTTTTTATCACACACATCTTAGAAAAAAGAGAAAAGAAAGAGGAGAAAGAAGAAAAATTTTTTTAAAAAAGAAAATTAATACATCATCACATCAATCAAATGATTATTGAGGATACTTATTAGTATCGGAAAGGTGGTAGAGCGCAATAGTCGAATACGTTGCTGTTTGTCGATTGCAGCGATGATGATGATGATGATGAATTGAGTGGTGGTAAAAACCTTTCCTGTGGTGGCAATGGAGTATTTACAATATCACTAATACGATTAGTTGCCGAATTATTTCCGGTTATTATTAAATTTGTATTTGTTGATGAGGTAGTTTTCGTATTAGATGTAGTTATTATATTTTTTTTCATTGGAATATTTGGCGTGAAATTGATCGCGTTGATCATCGAAGGCAACATTGCACCGTTGTTTGTGCTATTGTAATAATAGTTCTTACTATTATGAGTTGTGAATTGACGAACAAGTAGAGAATTTGATGGTGAGCCTTCTTCTACTTGAGGGCCAAGTAAAGGTGATGACTCTGGCGTTAGGGGTGCAAATTCATTCTCGGAATCGGAGCAATTCTCAGAACAGAAATGTGATGAATGAATGTCACCGTTTAATCCTTCAATCTGATTACGATCAAAAGATCTTGCCAATAATGGTGGGCTTGGCAAATTGTTATTGTTAATGCCATTGTGTCGACAATCTTCATTACTGAGACGACGCATTCTTTTGCTTGGAGGTTCGAAAGGTGGGGGAATAGCGTTAATATGATTGATAGAAGCAAATGGCAGTCCACATTCTGGATGATTATAATAACTTGAACAGGCGGATGCCATCAAATTCGACGATGATGCAGCACTATTATTCTTGAACTCCATATTCAATTTTTGTTGTTGCTTACGTTTATCCTTTTTTGTCGGATTCGTATGAGTTCTTCGATGTCGCGTTAATTCATCAGATCGAGAAAATTTCTTTTCACATCCAGGAAACTCGCACCGATGCGGTTTTTCCCCCGTGTGAGTTCTTATATGACGCGTTTGATGTTCTAAGCGATGAAATGCTTTATTACACATTGGGCATTTGTACGGCCGTGGAGCATTCGATTTCTCGGATGACGATGAAGATGTTGAATGCGCACGTTTTTTACCATTACCACTGCGGCTATCATTATTTCCATTACCATTTTGCTGTACTTGATGATGCTGTTGTGGCATTGGAAACATTAATGATTCTTGCGGCGGTGATAATGGATGAAGATAAGTGGGAGGTGGAGGGGGGAGATGCTGTTGATTTTGATGCTGCTGTTGTTGATGATGATGATGATTATAATAAAGGGATTGATAATAATCAATTGAGTGGGGAAAAGAGGAAGTGAAAGAAGAGGAATGCAAATTAGAATTGGGCATGGTTGGAATTGGTGATAGAAGATTGGAAAGTGCTTCCTTCATTGATGATGATGATGATGATTTATTATTAATATTGGAAATGGGTGTATTTCTTATATATATATATAAAAAATATATATGTATGCAATGCTATTTGATTAATTGAATCACTTGTTCTTGTGTGTTGTTTATACGATGTTTTTGTCGTAAAAAAAAAACGAAAAAAATTTCTAGTTTTTATTGTTTTGTGTGTGCATGCAGTTTATTTGTTTGTTTTCTACGCTTGTGTGTTCTCTTTGAAAAACAAAAAAGAAACAGACAAAGAGAGAAATAGATATTAATTTGTGTCGTTTATAACTCTTTTTTCCTCTTAGTAAGGACGATGTCCAAGAAAAAAAAATTTGATTTGATTTGTCTGGTTAATTAATTAATTGGTTTGGGTTGGTCGTTTGAATGATTAATTAATTAGAGCGTAGCTGAATTTGTTTTTAATTACGTTGATGATGGAGTGACAGAAGAGTGCAGCATCTTGAGAAAATGAAAATGAAAATTCTGCACTTCTATTTTATATAAATTTTTCAGATAATATTTTTGTGCAATAAAATAAAGGAATGTTTCAAATAAAAATTCTAAAACACACAGACTGAAAATAATATATACATTATATTCTATTATATTGTTTTTTATATTACATATATATATATATATTATACATCATTATTGTTATTATATAATACGTTACAAGTGAATTGACGAATATAAATATACATTTTGTAACACTTTTTAATGCTAAAACATATCGATAAATATGATATGACGATGGTTATTATGACGATGAAGTTAATTTTTATTCTTTTTTTCTTTTTGCTCTCTTGACAGCCCAAACATGTGAAAGATTAGACGTTCGTAAACATATGCACACATAATTAACACACATATTTATACAAATAATAATTTTCCTGTATTATTGCTGCTATTGTATGGCGATAACGCACATGACGAAGATGATCAGAATGATAAGTCTCTTGTTAATCGATTTTTCACCCCCGATATATTTGAAGTGGTAAAAGAATATCTAAAATCAATTTCTTGGATTAATGGCCTCGAAACCCATTATTGTCATCCATTTACCATTGTCAATTTTTCCCTGGGTTCCTATACAAAGTTTAAATTTGGGGACAGCCCAGAAACGTTTGCAGTAATATTTCTCCATTGCTTTCGTTCGCCTTATCCTATCTATCTATATATCTAATTCCTCGCATCAACAATAGTGCTAAAAGAAATTAAGACAAAAAACTGGGATTTTTCACGGGAACAAGCAGAGATTCAATGGTCTCTTGTCATTTGCCTATGGAAGGATGGCATGATGAAAATAATAAACAAGAAACAATAGGAGGAATATAATAGACATAAATAATGATTAATTAATTAATAGAAAGTTAATATAAAAAGAATGACGAAAAAAATCAAGTTTATAGAATAAAAGTTATTGTTATTGATATTATTGTTAAAATACAGGTCTTTTTAGAGAATGATTGTCCATGACCTTTTTTTACCACGTTTTTTTTGTTCCTGTCGTATATTGTTGAGACACATGTGTGTATGTGTGTGAAATGAATTTTCAGATGCAAGTTTAAACGATTTCGTTATCATCGTCATAATTTTACAATAGCTGTAATAGCAACAATTTAAATTGTCCTTTAATCCAATTTCCCAATTTTAGTAAAGAATTTTAATGCAATTAACATCTCTCATATGTATGCGAGTGTGCGAACGGCCTTTATTCATCATAATACGTGTGGTTCATGAATTATCTAACAGTAAAATAGCTATTATAATAATCGATCTTAGGGAAAGGGGGGGGGGGGTATTATGCTTCCTTTTCGCTAGGAGCTTTGATTGTTTCGAGGGAGGAAAGTTTCGATCATTATGAATTTTTTAACTTGTGATAATGATATAATAACATTATTATCGGTTTCACATCCTTGTAGCTATTACAAATACAAAACCCGAGAATCTGCTATTGTTGTCTATCCCCCGCAAATAGCATCTAATATCGTCATCAATAATAATGATAATGATTATTATGATTATTATGATTATTATGATTATTACATCAAACCGGAATTTTGTCATTTCACAGGATTACAAGCTCTTAGGAATGAGCTTTTTTTTATTTATATTTTTTTTTCTATTAATTTTTTACTGAAACAAAATAAAAACTGTCAAATTAATAAGAAGATTAGCAAACGGGTTAAATTTTGTTTGTGCGTACCGTGTGGTGTAGTATTTACTATATTTTGTGTGTGTCAACTTTGAATGGTAACAAGTTGAAAAGCATGTTTTTTGATTATTACATATATAAAATAAAATAGTAACTAGCATTTACTTAATGGAAATCGAAATCACATTCTACCCTCGAATTTGTTCTATTATATAGTGGGATTAATATAAATTAATTAGAGTTTGACGTCTCTCTCCCCCTAACACGAACCTCTGCCAATTTTGGGTATTTAACTTTTATCTAATACTATTAGTGCTACTAGCATTTAGTAAATTGTGTTTGTTATTGTGTGCGTGTATGAATGTGGTTATTATTCATTCTTTCTCTCTTTCTCCTTTCTTTAGAATTTTTCCCCCACAAAACTTGTTTTTTTTTCTATCATTATCATTATCATCATAATCATCATTATTAGAAGATTGTAACACACGATAGAAAACTGTTATTATTAGTGCATAAATGGTAATGTGCATATATCGATACGATTATTATCTAGACATATCAGGTTATAATAACATACTAATATGTATTGTAGGCTTGAATAATATCTTTCTGATCTTTTTTTTGACAATGTAAATGATGGATTCGGTTGCACTAATAAATTATTTTTTTTTTCAATTTTACATATGTGATTATTGTATAATAAAAAAGTCAAATAACAAAATTATGGTGCAGCACATAGACCCAAATTGAAGGCATTTCATATTTTGTATGGATTATTGTTGAAGTGGGGATTACCGTAATTCGCAGTATAAACCAAATTTTTTTTATTAATTAAATTTTCTGCTGGAACATAAGAAGAGACCCTGGTGATTTATGCGGACAAATTGCGGTGATTTTTTCTATGGATTTATTATGTTATATTTCCAATTTTCATATCAAGGAGGGTTATCAAAAGCTATTGGTAGCGCTGTTTATAGTTAATTTAAATTTTTTTCGGATTTGGCAATTTCATTAATAAAAATGTATAATTTCCCTTATAAATAAAAATATTTTTGTATACTTAAAATTTGTATATTCAACTATGATTATTTAATCTCAGGTGATACAAACATTTGGTGCTTGCATAGCGAGATTTTTTGAATTCCACGTTTTTCCTCTCACGTTAGGCTTTTAGTCTAGATTTGTTGGAAATGAATATATACATTAAACGTTGTAAAAAAAACTGTCAAAAATGTCACCAAGAAAATACATTTTAGCATTATTTTATTAAAAATTAATATTTCATCTGTTATTATCATAACAACAATCGCCTTTTGGCGTTTTGCCCGAAAGTATTCCCAAAAATGGCTATTGCCTATATATTTTTTTGATCGACGATCCCGGTCAAAATACCTTAAAGCAGAAAAATAGAGTTTATTTATTATTATTTATAGTAACACATTGTTTATTGTTGTCATTGTCTATCTCAAATTTTCATGCCAGCATGTGTAAATTGCGTGAAACTAATGGTCAAGTAAAGAATGTTATGTATGTATGTATGTAGGTATGCATGCATATATGCACACCTACATGAATATTTGCATATACAAGGGTCAATCATCAGTATCACTTTCTATATATTCGTAAATACAGAAAAATCAGATGATTTTGTTCTGCTTTTCGTTTGTTATATGCCAAAATTAGCGGATCACAAAATTGATACAACGGTTTTTAGAGTTTTATCTTATTGAACACGCGCACACTTGTTTGATGCATTAGATATATGCACGTATTTTCTTGCTACTTTTTTGTTTTCGTTTTTCGTTGTCCCGCTTATCTTTACAATATCTGCTGCAAGAAAGATGAACACTCTGTTTACGATCCATCTTCATTTCCATCCTTTGTATCTCGCAGGAATCGTATTGTTCTATGTAATACTATTATGTGAACTATGCAGGTAAACGCGTGTCGATAATCGGTAAATCTAGCCTAGTTTCTATTTAGGTCTATTTCTCGGTTGCTTTCTTTTCATTCACACGTATATCACCGATTCAATCTGGTACTTCACAATATAGACGTTTTCACGTATGTGCATGCTATTTTACTATTTCCTGTGGATATACAGTTAAATAATATGCACATATGTATTGTGTTTCCGAATGACGCGCGTTTTTTCATTCTTTTAGAAACTTGAGATATGCAGGTCCTGTGTCTTTGTAATGCCCAAATCCAAACAATCAATATATTTGATGGTTTTATTACATTTGATAGTTTTGTTATTGGGTCACTCGAAAATTTTTTTTTTGAATCTGTATTTACTCGGGCGACTATACATATAGTAGTGACAACAAAACAATATTCATTATTATTTACTATTCATTGTTTTTATTTTTTTTTATGAATAGCTCAGCTCATCTAGCTCGTGGTAAAGATTATGATTACGTTTCTACAAGAGAATATCTATGCGAGTTTCCCTGTCTCGGAATAATAATGGAAATGCACGTTTTTTTCATATGGAATCTACCCACGTTTAAGGCAATGCATTAATATATACTATTTTTGTTCAAAAAAAATAATAATAACGACTATTAGAACTATTACGTCTTAGGAGCACCTTTATGATAACTTAAACAGTTACCTGATCAACCGCCAATTTTTTTTAATATGATCTAATACTAAAGGAGTGCATTTCCCGTTACGCGTTCAAAAGATAACTGTGATGCATACAACCACGTGCACAAAGGCCAGTTCTCAATAAAAAGCGGGAGATAATTTTATAAGGTGAAATCACGGGTTATAGTGATCGAAGAATGTGGCTGCGCCTACAACCTATACACTCCTAATTGAATCTCATACTTCTGTTCAGGTCTGTGAGAATGCACAAGTACTGCAAGGACCCATTAAAGTCTCAGGGATAGGCCTCAGCGCTAGCGAGTGCTGGCTCTCCTTGTGAATGTTGCTGAAACGTAAAATGGCGAGATAATATGTTTCGGCACCGTTAATATCTCTATCAAGCTCGGTGTTCCACAAGACATCAAACTTTTTATAAATGTGCCACTTGCTGAGAAATGCATATTCTTGAAACGCTTTATGATGCGCGAGACGAAGCTATGAATGTTTTGCTCTTTGTAAATCGCAAGAAATTCAAGATGAAATGTCGCTCTAAAAAAGACCCCAACAGTCTATAGAGTCTTATCGAAGCACTGGGTAGAAAGAATGATACCAAAATTGTTAACATTGAGGTACTTTGCTCGCAGCCGTTTAATGCCTTCCTTCTCGACCGCGGAGAGCAATTATAGGTCCATCGCGCTGTTCCAAACCATTTTCTAAGTTTCTCTCGTTCTTCTTAGCTAGATGCGATGGGGCTTACCTGCCGAAAGCCTTCTGTCTTTTTGACGGATTTATTTGCTTCTTTCCTTGATGGCCTTTCGGCTTCTCTCATTATTGATGATGTAATGTGGCTCATTTTGTCACGCCATAGACGTCGTGTTGGCTTCGAATAAGCTTTCGGCCTTGTTGACAGTTTCATAGACACTGAAGCAGAGAACCATGTGTGGCAACCTGTTCTTTTTAATAAAGATCGCCACAATTTTGGATCCAAAGCGATGCCGTAAGACTATTTGAATGTAGACTGATTCCAGAATGGCTGTTGAGTGGCGTTATTTAAAGGTGGCTCGTTATCGAAGTGTTTGCGTTTTGAGTTCGGCATGGAATGTTTCTATATCATAGGTGATAATCCGTTAAGTATATATTATTTACTTGCATATCTCTAATCGAAAAATCGCTCTTTCAAGAGGAGGTGCGATATAATTGGTTGTGTTTTTTTACTTTCTCAGTAGGTCACGATACGATAAAAGGGCGGTATGGTTCTTTCACAGTGTTTATATAACGGAAAAACAAGTTTCGATCATACCGTATAGCGCTGCACACAGCATCCCCTTAAATTAGTAATTCCCTCATGTTAGTTGTTGGCCAATTCCATGGTCATAAGCCATTTTTCATATGACTTTGGTTATAATTATAATAAAATTGAGTCATATAAGGTCATATGACCCTCATGTAATTTTCAGATTTTTACGATTTAATATAGTTTATGGATAATTGCAATTGAAATGCGCTCAGTCAATATATTTACATTATGAAAATTTTGGCAAAATATCTAATGTCGACTTTCATGAGTCGTATATAGTTAATAGCCAAATAGCTATATTATATTTGATTCATATTTGCATAAGATTTAGCCTTATTATTAACGATCTTATAGATGCCGTAAAAAGTTCGAAAATAAGCTATGTCATTTGCTATGTGTAATCTATATAAAATTACCGAAAACAAGCTATCCCCTCATTCGGACTTTTACGATATTTTTCGAATTTGGTTAAATTTTGTCACGGATGATAAAGTTTGCCTGAAATTTTGGTTACTATGTATGCAATCTATTTGCTTTCATTGATGACCCGTTATATATCAAGAATCTCTATGTTTTTCACGCCATTTACTATTATTATGATTATGACATTATATTAATGTTAAATTATTATTTTTTTAGATTATTATAATATTTGTATTTGTATGACCAAAAAAATCCTTTAACGATATGGTTACCCATTACTATGATAAGTTTTAAAAGTTCTGACTTTTTTAATTAGAAAGTAAATACGAAATTTTAGTCCATTATTAAATTTGTATTTAGTTCTTAATTAGAACTTTATTGATGACTATAGATGTTATACGCCTAAATTGAATAATTATCAAGCACAAACGACATAGCAAAAATTTCGTCCAGAAATTGTGCCGTGTTTAATTTGATAGAATCTAATAATATTTGGAAAGGTTTTATTTATTTCTTCATAATTTACTTGGTTTTTTTTATCATGAATCCATATTATAGAGCTTAATGAGTTTGATTAAGTATTTTAACGAATTTTGCCATATATCAACAAACAATCAATCAAACCGTTTGTATAAAATATTCTTTTTATTTTGCTCTCATATTTATTTAACCTAATGGAATGGTATGCATGTTAGTTTGTCACATTCATTTTTACATTTATTTAAAGGTCCGTTCATTCCCATGTTATTTTTTAACTAGCATGTGCTATTTTTTCTCAAAACCAAAGGCTTCAATAGAAAGAATGGCTATTTCCTCATCCTCTTGCTACTCGCTTGTCCTAAATACTGAAACAAAAACGTTACTTTGCCCGGTGCCAGGATGCAAAACTCGTCTCACGTCTGGAACGCGTTTATGTGATGAACATAGTGTTGCGATATTACGTAAATAATATAAATTTGGTTTATATCAGCCTAATAATAGTAAAAGCAAATTTTCGCAATATTTTTTATCTATTAAATAGAAGAAAGGAAGGATCTCCCAAATCTTAGCATAATCAGACTCCCAACCTCTAATACCAACGAATTTGTCACGTTATTCCCACTCTCGAAATCTTCAGAGCGATATACCTCTCTAGTAACTTCAATAATGAATGACTGGAAAAAGCAAAATGTGACTGATTTAAAAATCGAAACAATTGCCGAGATTCATCCAAGTCCAAGTCAAACCAAAACTTTCAACGAATACAAGACAATGATATTGAATACGAGAAATGATGATGATGATGTCAAAGATAACGTTTACAATCATAATAAAGTCATGGCACTTTATCACGGAACTCATCAGCATTGTGATCCACTTCTCACAACAGAAAACGGTCAACTGCAATCCAATTCTCAAGTATTATGTGGAAACTCTAATTGTGGCGTTTGTGGTGTCATTTTAAATGGATTTGACCCTAATAAAATTGGACAAAATGCACGCGGCGAAACTTTTCAGAGGTTGGGGAAAGGATTTTATTTCGCTCCGCACCCGTCGAAAGCGCATTATTATTCACGTGGCGCGGTTTGTTTTTCTGTTTAGATCTGATTGTTTGCATAGCTGCTTGTTGCTTTATTAGATATTAATCAATTTTTTTTTAACTAGCAAAAGTGCCATTCTAATGATCCTACGCGAAAAACGCAAGTTTTACTTCGATGTCTCGTCGCGGTTGGAAAACCATATCACGAGAATGTTGTTCAGCCAAAAAAAACCGCGCCTCCTGAAGGATATGACTCGGTTTATGGTGCCATAGGCACTTGCAAATCACGTGGACACGGACCTTTAAATTGGCCTGAGTATGCTGTGTATGATCCAAGGGCTGCAATTGCCGTTGATTACATTGTGTATAGTTATACTTCAACTTCAGAATTTTGATAGATAAACTTGTAAAGAATGTAGTATTTTAAGAAAGCTCACTAAAAATCGAGAGTTTTATAAGACAAATAATAATATGACTATTTAATAATTATCGTTATTATTGCCAATAACACATTTATGCTACTTCTTTACCAAGAAATAAATACAAAATAGAAACAAAAGAATATTTAACTGATTTTTACACTAACAACTAGTAAACTCGGAATTCGTGAAACCACACGTGTAGCGAAGGGATAAAACTAACTGTTAGTCAAATTCATACACAAGCCTTCATCAAAAAGTTTTCGGTACGTAAATGATTAAAAAATAGTTTTCTTCATTTCAGATTACCAATAAAATTTCTAATCGGGATTACAAACAAACACCACAGCTATTTATATTGGCTGAAACAAATGTGGACCATTGAAGTCTTTGTTCTTCTTGATAACATGACCTTGAAAACGAAGAGAACTTCTGGACTTCACGAATTACGATTCCGAATTCCTGATAGCAAAACATTCGCCGAAAGCGTGGCTAAAGAATATTACTCAATTCAATGAATCATATAAATAAATTTATATAATATAGGTTCTTTCATTTAAGAATATGATATCACCATTTTACATCACTATATTTGGAAATTGTCATGAGCATCACATGAGTATTTAAATTACTATGTTTAGAAACAATAGTTTAGCATCATACTTTTTTCAATTAAATAAACATGAGTATAAAATCGGGATTTTCAAAACGTGTGGTTTTTATCACGGATATTTTGACTAATCTGGCGAAACATCTTTTCATGATTCTTAGACGAGAATTCTGAGTACAAATATCTTCAAGGATGTCGTTAAATTTTATCTTAATTGATTCATTTTTTTATCCTTTTTTTTCGAGTCGAACTGTTGTTTTTTTTTAATTCTAAACTTCGGTTCGACTTATCACTTTTTGTGATATTGGCAATTCCCATTAAGGACGTATCGCGAAATGAAATTCGCTAAAGTTCTCCAAGCCGAGTCCGTCCCCGAGTGGCGAAAACAGCAAGTTTTTTTTTGTCTTAAAGGATGAGATAGTTCATCATAAAGTTTCATAGGAATAATAATATTTTGATTTATTTAGTTACATAGACTATAAGTATCTAAAAAAGCTACTAAGACAGGTAGAGAAAACACGCACAATCTATGACGCTGAACAAGAAGCAAACCGTAAACGTCATAAAACTCAAGAAAATGTAGGAACTTTGTCAGTACAGTCTGACGAAAAACCATTTCGTACCTGGAGTATGAGTAGTATTCCGGGAGTGAAACCTCTCGTAGATAGGTTCATGGCTTTAAGTAATAGAGCTAATTTCGACTCCGTTTATTGTAAGCTATTTGCATTATAGCTTTTTTTACACCGCGTATTCCTTAATGCTAAGAATCTAATCCCCTCATTCCTTAATGCATTAATTAGATCGAAATGACGTTAGGAAAAACGTGACTCTTGCTAATTTCATGGATCACGTGAACGATGATGAACGCGTATTTTTTGAAAAGATAGACAAGGAACTAGAAATGATCAAAGATTTTTATAAAGGTATTTTTATTTTTATATTAGTTGCATCTGATCATTAGCTGTTTGTTCTTATATTCCTTTATTATTGATAGAAATGGAAGAAGAGGCTTTGAAAAATTTCAAAATTCTAAAATTTCAATACAAAGAAATGCGTGAATACAGAAAAAAGCAAAGGAGATTGCAAGTAAGAATTAAATTGATTATTCATTGAGAAGAATAGAAATTTTTATGAAGAAAGAAATTTATTGGATTTTACATTTATTCATTAGAGGAATGGCCGCCGGTCTGATCGTTGGTCTAATTCCGTTTCTTTAGTTAAACAAAGTATTAATAGATTATCTATGCCCGTGGGAACAATAAATAAAGTTTCATTTGACACAAATTCGCCGACCGAAGATCTACCACCCATGGACTTTGATTATAAAGATGCGCGTAAAAAAATAAAAAAGGCAGTGTTTGAATTTTATCGAGGAACCGAATTTTTGAAAAATTATAAGGTTGTTAAATTTGCAACATTGTCGTGTGGATATTTTTCATCTATTAAATTTTTCGTATAATTTTTTCTCAAAAGGTTTTGAATCGAAGTGGATTCGCTAAGATTCTCAAAAAATTTGATAAGGTAATTTTGTCAACAACGATTAATTTATGTGATTAAACAAAATGTCATATTCTCATCTCTTATTAAATTGACCTTTTTTCTATCAAAATTAGCTAGCGGGATGGAAAGGAGGTTCCCTATATATGCAAAAAATAGACGAAAGTTATTTTGTAACATCCAAAGTATTGGATAAAATTATCAAAGAAACTGAGGTAATTGTTTTTTCAAGTTTCTAAGTTGTATTTTAATTTCAATCATTAATTTTTTTGATGAATTAATTTTCTAGAATTTTTACGTGGATAAATTTGAAGGTGGAATGCGAAAACAAGCTTTGAGTAAACTTCGCCTTCCTAATAAAACGAATCAAGTAATATAAATTTCTACTTTTCCATCATTTTTATCGTAATTTAACTCCGTGTATTCTGACATCATTTAGACATATCATTTCTCAGTATGGCGCGCTGGTGTTTACTTGGGCATAAGTTTTTGTCTCCTTTTTCGGGTGGCTGATTATGGTAAGTTTGTCTGTTTGTTACTTAATATCTAGATTTTATTCTCATTCATCCACTATAATTGTTTTAATTAGTTTTTGAGTTATATCCTACATTCGGATCCGATAATAAATGGTCGGTTATTTTACAAATATACGGTGGATTTTTACTTCCCATTGTAATATCACTGTTGTTTGGACTGAGCCTGCTTATATGGAACGAATCAAGAATAAATTATAAGTTTGTTTTTGAGTTCGATCCTCGAGAAAATTTGGATTATCAGCAATATTTTGAGGTATTGTTTTTGTTATTTTTACTAAGAATATAATGATGATCTTTATTTTTTATTTAATTTAATTTAATTTTTTTTCATCATATTTAGCTTCCATCGTTGGCATTTCTATTATTGTGTTTTACACTTTTCCTTGTCTTTGCTCAATCATTAATCCAGTTTACGTGGTTCCCTGCCATTTTCGTTATTATATTTCTCTGTCTCTTTCTTTGCCCTTTTCCAATATTTTATTATGATGCAAGAAGATGGTTTATTGTTGGTTTGGTAATAATGTTCATTAGTTAATTTCTCGTTTTTTCACGAAAGCACAATCGATTAACTTATTATTTTTGTATAACTTCAGTTACGAGTATCCTTTTCATTTTTCTTCCCAGTCGAATTTCGAGAATTTTTTCTCGCAGACTGCTTAAACAGTTTATCGTACACTTTTGTTGCGATGGGACTTTTTAGTTGTGCTTATACATATGACTGGCTTGAAACGCGCAAGTGTTTTTTTATTTGTTAAAGGAATATCAATGAATTGTGGCTAATTGTAATTCAAACTTGATTGTAACAGAAGCTCGTTGTTCTACGAGGGGTGATTTAATTCCGCCTTTTCTTGCCTCAACTCCTGCTTTCTGGAGATTATTACAATGTTTGAAACGTTATCTGGACACCCGCAAAATATATCCGCATATAGTAAACGCAGGCAAATACGTATCATCTATTTTAGCTATATTTCTTTTATTTTTTTATCGAGGTAAGTTTTTTAATTTTAAAATTAATTCTTAAAAAATACATATTCACAGAATTTTTTATTTCAATTAGAGTTCGAGGGCGTAAATACTTTATTCATTCTTTGGGTAGTGCTCCAGTGTATAAATTCAATTTATACAGGCTTGTGGGATGTAATTATGGACTGGTCCCTGTTCAATTTGGAGAGTGATAATATCTTACTTCGAAATGAATTGGGCTATAGTCGAAAATCGGTGTACTACTTTGCGATTGTGTCAAATTTCGTTTTGAGATTTAGTTGGGTGATACTCGCTGTGAATAAAAATTATAGTAAAGGTCTGCTCGTTTTTGCGGTTGCATTTGTTGAGATGCTTCGGTAAGCGAGGAAAATCCAAATTAACTTGAATTCGAGTCTACGGATTTTAATTTTGCTTTCTTAATTTTTAATAGACGTTGGCAATGGATCTTTTTCCGTGTAGAAAATGAAGTGAGTAATTAATATTTTACCGTTATTCGTTAATGTTTTATTATAAAAATCCTCATTAGTTTTCCTCTATACATCAATTCAGCATATTAACAATTGCATTCGTGGTCGAGCAATCAAAGAAGTCACCCTTCCATTTGTTTTTAAACCCGAAGAACTTAGTACTATTACAGTATCAACTACGGGACATGATAAGCTTGCTTCTGGTGATGAAAAAATAGCTGCCCAAAAAAGAGCCAGTCAGAGAACTAAGCCAGTGAACTTTATGAGAACCTTTTATTCAGAGAGAGATCAAGCCTCACATGCTTTCTCAGACTTTGAACCGCGCCGCGAGCCAAACTTCGCTGGAATACAAAGTGATGACGAGGACTTTGATGATGATGATGATGCTGATGATGATCCGTTTTCATCCAATCGAATCCTCTCAATATATGATATCGATATAGAAAATGAAGCAGCGCGAAAACTTCGAGATCGCAAAAGCTCATCAAAAATATTAGAAAGTAACATTATTTCAATGAATAATATTGATGAGAGTTCTGACGATCACCAAAGCGGTCAACCTTTGGAGTTAGACGTTATGAATCAATATAATAGTAGAAGAATGCTAAACTCTTTAGAAAATTCCACTAATAATAACAGCGCAAGGCGACAAAAATTTAGCGACGATGAATCTCTAGATGAAGAAGCAGGACGACACAGGAAAAGAAATCCAAGAATTTCTTTTGCAAACGTCAAGTAATGGACAGTTTACTCGTAGGAATGTAGACGATTTTAGTTATATCTTATCTATACAATTCTTATAGAATCATAATTTTCTTGTGTACATTATAGTCATGTAATAACTTTAATATTCTTTTTTATACCTACTTTTCAGTCTAAACTTTTGTAAAATGATATTTTTTAATTAAATTTCTGATATGTATTACGAGCAGCAATATTTAATAATTTTAAGAAGTTATAATTCCTCTTTTAAAGAAAAGAAAGATATTAACCATACGATTTCCAATTGTCTAATATTCTGTTTTGTCATCCTATTTAGTATTTTCCCAATCTAGCTTAGTCACATATATTTCATCAATCTCATGCCCATATAAGAAGATCGAATGGTAACTATTTTGAATTATAAAGATCATGTTAATCAACTTTGTTGACAAACGCCACTTCGTATCAAGATGAGTAATATTTACTCACCAGCTTTCAAAGTCTTTGAATAAGTGCATGAATTTAATTTTAGATTCGATAGATAACATTTAGAAATAAATGTCGTGATATTAAAAAATCAAATTTTGATAAGATCATTTGTTTACCCGTATTCATTGATTCATTGAATTAATAGAAGATATATTTTTTTTTATATTTTGCATGAGTAAAAAAAGTTATTCAAAACCTTTTAAACTTTATTTATAAGTTAACCTTAAATAAAAAAATAATCTTTACACACTTTCCAATTTGGCTTTCTCAAGTATAGATGTACTATAAAAGGGTTTGGATCTTGATATAAAATAAGCTTGTTGTTTATATTAAAAGTTCTCATAATGCACTCTGACACAGATCAAATAAATTTTTTAATTTAACCTATTTCCTTTATGGTAGTTATACACTTACCACAAAACGAGTTTCATTTCTTCAATAATAAGGATACTAAAATACCTTTTTCTCTTCCTTTTTTTGCCCTTTCTCTCTTGTATTAAGGATGTCAGATCTACGTACCTAATTTTAGACATGATATCGTCGACTTGAGAGTCAAACTTTTATGCAGTGTATGTAAAGGTATGTCATTGTTTTTTTTCATTAATGCGGGATTCTTTGAATTATCAGCACGCGATTTTTGTAAAAAGAAATCACATTATAAAAAATGCACACATACTTTCCCAATAGCAAAAAACGAAAAAAATATTACTATAAGAAATGCGGCCCGTGCCAATACTTCACTCAATGATTAATCAAAAAAAGGGGGAAGGTAAATAACTTTCTTTTCGACGATGATGATTATGCTGATAATGTATAGATACTAATTCCCGTGTGAACCAAAATGTGGTGTAATAATTTTTGGCAAGAAAAAGCATTGCATTGCGCTACGTGAGAATGCAAAGAAAATAAAAGATTTCGAAAGAAATTCAGAATTTTCGTATAAGGGTTAGCGGGAGATTTATTGGTTGATCTCATCAAAAAAAAAAGGGACGCAAAGGAGAAAGGTTTACCCAGCAAACCGAGAGGAGACAAATAAAGAATTTGCGATAATCTTTTTCCTTCACGAATGGAAATAAAAAGGGAAAAACGATTTGTGTAATGGCACTGTTATTTTTATCCTTGTTTGAAGCGAGAATCGACATGTTTGTTTGTTTTCTATTTCTCCAGTAATTCACTTTCGACTTATTTTGAAGTTTTAATTATTATTGGAGTTTGATGTGATACTGCTGACCACACAGCAGGTACAATGCCACTTCTATTATTATTAAAAAATTAATTATATAAATTATATGCATTTTTATATGTAATCTGCCGTTTCACGCCTGCATGAACAAATAACATAGAATAAATGCAGAATTTCGAGAGTTTTAAATTCAATGAATCTTTCAACGTACATTTTAGGATCCATGTTCTACTATACCTAAAGACGCTCGATGCAAATTGACGTACTTTACAGTTTCTTTTATTCTGATTCATAATGACGAAACGGTAGTAGGATAATGAATCAAAAAGAATCCAAAATCAGAGAAAAGATACAGTTTATCGTAGGTAGCACATAATAACGGACGATCTCTATCGTAATGTCTTATGAAATAATGACTTTTGGCTAATCCCATAAACGGTACATATCTGGACTAGACTATATCTTTTATGAGTGGGTTAAAAACTATATATATATATATATATAATTGTTCAATTTTCTGCTATTAAATAATAGGCTACAATGTATTCTTGTTTTGCATGAGTTGTGTGTCTTGTGTCATGAAGCAGATTGAAAACAGATCTCGCGATTATTGTTGTTGTTCTCTAGCACGAAAAATCGACGAATCAATTGTGCGTTGTATGGTGGCAAGAAAATTAATAATTTAGTTTTCCGGGTAAAGCGTTCAAGAAATTTTTCTCTTTTTAGCAACAGAAAAATTCACAACACTAACTTTGTTAGTTATTGATGCTTAGCACTTTTTTTTAATCTGCATCGTTTTGCATCTTTCTGCATATGCAAAAGAAATTATTCGGCAATCTGAATAATCTGAATAAGTTGCCTTTCCCATAACCCTAAAAGTAATTGTTTGCATATACATCATTTTTTTAAAAAGTTGAGAGATAAAAAGCACTTGAATAAAAAAAAATCAGTTCAAAAGCTAGAAGAGTCTTTATTTCTTTGAAAAAAGGTAATAATGCATTTTATTTTGTGTGACAATCTGATATAATAAAGTCCAATCCACTTCAATTCTAGTTGACTTGCGTGCGACTCAATATGCTATTGAATGCCTTTTCGGTTGACGACAACACACACGTGTATATGATTTCTATTTTAACAACACCGATAAAGGGAATCAGATCTAACGTTAAGTTGTATTTATTTCCTTTACAAAGTTCTTTTATTCTCTAACCATATAAAAAAAACCGACAGAAATTACTCGATACACACGATGATGAAGATCAGGACTATTAATAATCTTGTCAAAAAACTATTTTTAAATTTAAAATTTTTTCAAATAGAGAAATTACTCATTATTCAATTACGCCCATAATAACATTTCGGTTACACATGTCCCAATACCAATACGCATTTTATATTGATATAAATAACGTAAATCAATGTTGTCTATTGTTATTTATTGAAAGCCCTGAAACTTTTGTTAACCGTAACATTTCACAGTTACAAGAAACTTCAAATCAAAATTTAATCATTAAAAAAAAATTTCTTGTGGTTGGTTGATTGCTCGGTAAAATTAATTAATTGGAAATTTTTTTCTTTTCGTTCTTAACATCATCATTATCATCAGCGGCAGCAATTATATGCGTGCGCGTGTGTGTGTGTGTGTGTGTGTATATATATATATATATATATATACATACATCTATCTATATTTTATTTTATTATAACATCACCATAAAAAAATAAATACCCCTCTTTCCCAAACACTCCTCTCATTTTTTTCTTTTGTTTTTTTAGACTTGGCAAAGATAGAATAGGATAGAAAAAGCATAATAATATACCCCATTTTCTTTGTATGTCGTAGACGACACGACGGCGAAATACTTTAAACGTAATACCTAATATCTTTTGTCTTCTTATTTTATAACGAAACGTGCGAAAAAAAGTTTATCATTCAACAAAACGATTATATATTTAAACGCACATACACGACTTATTCTCATACATACACATACACATAATAATATTAATCAAATAAAAAGTAATACTTGTAAATAAATGATCTTTTCACATACACATAAACATACTTATTATACACACATATCATAAAGCGACAACGAACACTTTTCCTACTCTTACCTAAACGACAATTTTATTAATCTACCATTTCGTATAATAACCGAGTAGAGTTTTCCTTTTACCAAAAACCAAGCTAATAAATATTGACTAGCAGAAAAAAATAATACAAATGGTAAAAGTCAACCTTCGATTTGGGAAACCCAAAAAAGGTGGCGGAACCCAAAATGAAACGGACACTTCGGTTCCGACCTCGCCAACCACCATCGCCCCGCCTTTGGAACTTCCACTAAATTTACCACTTATCTCGGTGTCCGACAATCCCAACACTAGATCCTATAATAATAATTATAACAATGGCAATAATATCAATCATAATAATAATAACCAGAATAATAGTAATGGAAACGGACTAATGGATGAAATACTTAGTACGTTGACTTCGACTAGCAATACCAATCAAGGTAGATTTAAGTTATTTATATATATATAATTAATTAATTAATGTTAATATTGTCTTCCCCATTAAATGCTAATCTCTAAAATATGGTTGCTAATACTTTACCATTCTAAACTATGATTTTCCTTCAAAAAATAAAAAACAATAAGGGGGTACAAGTGTTCTTGACCCAGATTTTAGTCTTGCCATGGAACTATCAAGGAGACTTGAATTCTCTAGTGATCCTCCGACAACATCCACGTCACCAACTTCATATTATAATTCTTCATCTTTCTCTAACAATCCGAATAGTAGTCTCTCCAGTTTTGCTACTACTAATAACACCACCTCTCCTCAAAATTTATATACTCGATTCAATTTACCGGCAACAGCAGCAACAACAACAACAACAAATAATAATAATTCTTTTTCATCAGGATTGCCTAATAATCTTTCGAGTTATCAACAATTTCTCAATAATAACAACACCAATAATAGTAATACCGAAACCACAAAAAGTAAATCATTCCAAAAGCCATTGGACAGTGATGAGGAAACAGAGGAGTCCTCAAGTAGTAGTAGCAGCGAAGAAGACTCGCGTAGAAAAAAGAAAAAGAATAACAAATCAAGTTCACGAAGGAATAAGTCAAAACATAAATCTGGTAAAAAGAAAAAACCAGTTGATAGTGATGAGGAAACAGAGGAATCTGGTTCTGATGATGAAGATTCAGATGACGAAGCAAGTCTCAAGAAAAGACCGGGTCATCAGAAACGTGACAGTGATCCTTTAATAGAAGTAATGAAAGCTCGTCGTAAAGAAGTCACACAAAAGATTTCCCTGGTGGAAAATTGGGTTGCTGCTGTTAATCCAACTGATGGTGAAAATAATGTGTTAGATCGAATGAAAGATCGGCATCGTGTTGAAGCGCGGTCACTTGTAACTCCGCCCACTGCTGTTCCACCACAATCTTATGGTATTCCTGATGATGATAGATATCATAGGGATGAATGGGGCTACGATCGATATGATAGATATGATGGTCCAAGAGATCGCGATGATTATCGTGATCGTGATGATTATAGGTATCCATTACCGCCGCCTGGTGCACGAGATCCAAGGATTTTAGGACCTGGTGGTTTTGTTGATGATAGAGACGATTACAGAGTTCCACCTAGAGATCCTCGAGATCCACGTCATAATGGTTTTGCACCGGATCATCGAGAAGATTATCGATATGGACCTCGTCAGGCTGGACCTAGAGGTCAATATATTGACGAGAGAGATCGACCTCCATATGATGATCGATCAATTCAAGATGATGTTCGTTCCAAAAGTTCAAATGCTCGGTCCAGACACCCAGAAGGATATCTTGGAAGACGTGAATCTACTAGTTATGGCCGACCAATGGCACCACCCATTAATGAAAATATGTATGGTTCAAAACAACACAGTGGTTCATCGGGTGGGCACTCTTTAAACGGCGATGAAGTTCCTTTGGGTCGTAAATATCGAGATGACTCTTTAGCAGGACGTGTTCCTTCAAGTAGTCAATCCTCATCATCAGCAGGTTCAGCTACATCATCCAGGGACGGATCTCATAATAAAACGTTAAAAAATGATCATTTAATTCGTAAAGTTCAGCCGCAGGCACCTTCTCATAAAACGTCATTTTCCTCGAAAAATGGCGGATCATCCGCAAAAGAAAAATATCGTGATGAAGCTTCATCAAAACCAACTACTAAATCGAATAGTACTCATTCTCGACAATCTTCGTTCTCATCAGGACCTATTGGACATGGCTCCGCAGTAGGTAATGAATCGCCATTAAGACAAGAATTCCGCCACGATCATCAAATAAAAAATGGTTCAGACAATGATCCATCATATTTTCGGCGTTCTTCGGATTCTGAAATTAACGATGATTATCATGATAACGAAAGATCAGGTCAATATCAACAGAACTTCAAACATCAACAACAACAAAGGCAACAATATCCACCCGATTATCAGCCTCATCGGCAACAAGAGTTACGTGACAATGAGCGCACTTTCCAAGATGATCAAGAATCTTTCGATGAAGACCTAAAACCTTTAGCTAATGTACATAATTATAATCAGAATAATGGAACATCATCAAAACGTGAAATAATGGACAATGAGCGAAATAATCACCAATATAACAACAACAACCACAGTAATAACAGTTATTCATCACGTCGATCCTCTGTTAAGGGATCTGATGGCGACTCACCATTACCTTCTCCAACAGGAAATAGCCACAAAAATAAATTCAAAAGGTCTAAATCTCAATCGGATAGAAAAAGAACCGTGAAGCACCAAGTTGCACCTTCCGATGAATCAAGTTCAGAAGAAGAAGAAGGATCTGATAGAGATAGCGATAATGAGCCTATCAACTTACCAAATAATGGACAATCACGTTCCCAAGGGAATATACCTCCTCATATGCGTCAAGATCATTATGGTGAAGGAGTAAATGGCGGTTTTCGACCAGATTCTTATGCTCCTCCAAGATATGGTCCAAATGGATATCGGGAGGAACCTGTGAATCGATATCCTCCCAGTCGTGATGATTTACCAAATGGAAGATATCCTCCTGGTAGTCGAGATGATTTATTGCCACCACCCGGTAGATATCCACCCAACAGAGAAGAGCCTATTTCAAGATATGCAAGTGAACCTGATGAATTATCTGTAGGGGGGAGATTTCCTCCACCACCACCAGGTGGATATCGGGATGATTCAAATGCAAGATATCCGCTATTTCGAGATGAGCCTTCAGTAAATGCTCCATACCCAACATTCCGTGAAGAACCTCCGTATGAACGTGGAAGATTTGCAGCCCCTCGAGCTTTACCATTAATAGAACAAACACCACCTGAATTATCGATAGGTTCTAAGAAATTGCCATTGATTGAAATGGCTGGCTATAGATACGATCAAAATAAACGAACACCCGTGCAGACCAATAATCAACCATTCCTTGCTAATATGGGTTCTCGAATTCGATCACCATCTCCAATGCGTTATGATGCTCCACCTCCCCCATTAGCTCCACCACTAGCACCGCCACCAGGGATGAATCGGGGATATCCGCCTCGAGAACGTGGTAATTATCCAATACAAGATAAATTAGGATTTGCTCCACCGCCTCCACAAGATCGGGTTCGAGACTTTCCTCCAGAGAGGGGGTATGGTGGTCCGGCACCACCACCACCACCGATGAGGGGATATAGTACTCCGGCTAATATAAGGGGTGGTAAACCAGGTTATGAAGGACAATTTTATAATGATCGTCGTGGGCGTGAGGTTTATGGTGATCGGGGTTATAATGGATATGACGATTATTAGGATATATCATTTCACTTAAAATTATTCATTGGTGGGATCTTGTGGGTTTTTGGATTATACGTACATATTTTCTTAATTAACTTTATTGCTGGGCGGATTTTCTGGTTTATTTAATTGTATTATTTTCTCCAATCCGAAATATTTCCTTATTAATAATATCAACTTTTTTGTTTATATAGTTTAAATTATACACAGTAATTCCGTTATTTACTTTTTTTGTTTATACATTTATACATATATACACACATACATTCATATTTAACATATAAATACATACAGATATTAAAAAATTGCAATCTCTAAAAAACAATTATTATTTATTTCTTAATTCTAAAAATAAAAATAAATATAAATCTATACAATGAGGATAATAAAAGTACCTTTTTGATCAAAAATATTAAAAAAATACTCTATTTTTAACATGAATCTATTCTTTATTAATAATGTCGAGATAGTTGGTAAATCGATTTGGGACTTTAACTGATCCGCCCGTTTATAATATTTACACTAGTTTCATGATTTGAGTTTATATATAGATTGTTTGAGAAATGAAAGAACGTTTGGCCGTATTCATGATTTGAGTCATAGATTGTTTGAGAAATGAAAGAATGCATATAAATGACATATTGATTAATTAAGCAATTCAATGGTTTGGCCGCATTCAATGACATGAAGTAATTTTAATATAATCCACTGAAATTAAAGAATATATTAAAATATGTTTTATATTGGCTAAAAATGGTAGATAAGAAATTCATTCTAGAATGTAGGTATGCATGCATGAAAACGCCTGTTGATGTTTCGAGATTAAGGACATAAAATCTCGCCGATAAATATCGGAGGGTAGCACACAAAAACTCCACCATTATGCTAAGAAAAATTACTTTAAAATAATAAATATATACTTTTTTTCTTTTGATGATTTAATTAGTCTAGAACAGAGCATCTTGTCTTACTAATATCTTTGCATCGGTTGCATAATCAAACAATAATCAGTGATTTAACTATTCTTTTTATATAATAAAATTTATTGTATCGTTGGAATAACTACCTCAGTAAATGCATATTATCGTTATTAAAAAAAAAAAGAGGAGTCTATTTTATCCATCGATAATGTAAATAACAGAATCTTATTTTTTAAAAGAATTCTCTTATGGAATTCTTTAGACTAAAAAGATAAATAGCGTTTTTAGTTCAGAGTTTTTTCCGTAATGAAAAATCAAATAATAGTTGATATTGGTTTTTTTTTGGTTCGAATATGCCGGTGAAATTTTTAGTCAGTATCGATATGCGGAGCTCAAAAAATAAATTTGTTTCACCACATTCAATAACCAATTCAGGATATCATTTCATTTTTTCGCACACTATTATTCGTTTTAGTAATACAAAAAAAATATTCTTCTGTACTCCTTTTTAGATATCCCCCAAAAAAAATGATGATTAATATATCACATGAATACAAACACACATATCACATAAGGGTAATTTTATTTTAGCTGATACGTTTTATCGTTTTATGTCCACTCTTTCTTTCTCAACTCTGCATCTTTTGGAAAATTGCTTTTTGCTGTTCGTTTTTTGTCCTGCGGTCTTTGAATGTTAAGCTGAAAAACGAAGTGGTAAGCATATTTTCATATTTTTTTTTAACCATTTTACTAAATGTTTATTTTCATTGTTGAAGTTTGTTATTTTACTAGTGGTTATTTCTATTCTTTTTTACCCTTCTTTTATAGTAGTATTTTTCTGTAATTGATTTTAGGGTGAGAGAGAGCAATTATAAATTCCTAGAATTGTCATCCTACTCCATTTATTATTCCTCTTTGTTATATTTCTGCGGAAATTTTATTTTCTTTATTGTATTTCTGTGGAAATATTATTATCGACGAAAGATAGAATTTTCTTATAAAAATTTCTACTGACGTTATTTCTACAACATAAATTTTATTTCATGCAAATTTTTTTCACGCAAAATTTTTCCATTTACATTCGGAAAATATTTTCATTTCTTTTGACCCTAAACATTTCTCTGGAACTAAATCAAGACTTTACTGATATTTCTACTGCTCTAATTTATTTTTAGACCAAAAAATTGAGAGATAAAAAATAATATAACAGCAATAAATTTAAAATGAGATTAAACGATTTAGTTTCTGATGAAACTGACGCTGATACTATTCGTGGTGATTCTTCAGATGGGTCGGCATATTGTGATAGCAATAACAAAAGAAAGCGAGGAGGACGGTCGGAAGATGGATTTGATAGTTCCTCGAGTTCAGGATTGTCTGAGCCTCCAAGTGATTCTTCTGACACAGATTATGAGCAACCAAGGAAATCAAAATCGACATTAAATTCCACGATTAGAAATAATCTAAAGTCTAATAATAACGCCGTCATGAATCATCATCAACAACCACCTTCAGTAATTAAAAGGGGACGAGGAAGACCGAAAAAAGATCAAAGCATAACAATAGTACATGTCAGTAAAGCTACTCGTGGACATCGTGGACGAATACCAAAGCCAAAACCTGCTCCAATAAGGATCCCTTCTAAAATAGGTCGGGTCAGGCGGAAAAGTTTTGACCCTCGTGACGTGATGGCCACTGATAGAGCTGGTCAAACTAATTTACACATTGCATGTCAGCAGAATAATTTAGAGGCCGTTAAAGATTTAATTTCCAGAGGGGCAGACATCAATGCTCAGGACAATAGTGATTGGACTCCACTGCACGAGGCAGCGTATGCTGGGCATATAGAAATAGTAGATTATTTACTGGAGAATGGTGCACGAGTTAATGCTGTGGATCAAGAAGGGGACACGCCTCTTCATGATGCTTGTTATCAGGAACACTCAAAAGTGGTGAAATTATTATTAGAATATGGTGCAGATGTTGAGAAGAGAAATGACAAAAATAAGAAACCGGATGAACTTACCTCAACAAAGGAGATATTAAATTTAATACATACGCCAGTGAATTTCCCTAAAAGCCCAAAAATAAAAAATATACAGCCTCCAATCACTCCAAGTCTGACTTTAGCGTTTGACTCATTACAAACAAATGAACCGAATTCACCTATCACAAAAAAGCCCACGAGAGCAAAGAGTTCCCGTGAAGATTTACCAAAAGGGCGTTCTTCCACACGGAATCAACGTGCATCTGTTCCAAATGATGCTCTCCGCTTAGAACCTCGATTCAAAGATAAAGAAACTGGGCGAACACATCTTCACAACCATGCGAAAAAGGGACGTGTTCAAGAAATCAGTTTATTATTAGAAACTTATGCGAATCCAAACGCTGCTGATTTCGAAGGGCGGACACCACTTCATGATGCGGCTTTTGAAGGACATTTAGACGCTATAACCGTCCTTTTGGCTTTTCAAGGAAATCCAAATGCAAAGGATAAAATAAATAAAAATACGCCGCTTCACGAAGCAGCTCGTAAAGGTCATGCTCAAATTGTGGAGTTGCTAATTCAGAATGGAGCTGATCCTGATGCAATTAATGAATTAGGAAAAACTCCTTTCAATTTGTCTAAAAATGAAGAAGTAAGAAATATATTAAGGCGCGTTTACACTGAACGGGGAATTCCATATGAAGATGACATTGAATCGATCACGCACTCATCTCCAATGTATACGGATGAATTGGAATCGCCAATTTCACCAAAGTCGCCGGTTTTGGACATTGTATATAGTAATTCAAAATCAAATAATAGTATTAACGGAAAAAGTTATGGCAACGGACATCTTCATCATATCAGCGGAATTGAAAACTTCAAACTTACATCATCGCCAGAAGAAATAAAATTAGAATTTTCGTCAACCCCTGATCATAAAATAAATGGGAAGTCTGGGCGTGGGAATAATTATAATTATTATAATAATAACATGGATATTGATTATGAGGATGAATTATCAGCAGAAGAAAATTTTCTTGCGTCACCACCTCGTTCGTTAACCCCCACTCGAATCGCAAATACAAGAACCACGATAACGAGGTTTAATTTACCACCGCCTGGTTCTGATTTTTCTGCAAAACCATCATTACTACCATCACCATCTTTTACTACAACAAATGGAACTAATGGCAATATATCATCTAGTCATGAACCAGTGTCATCATCAAGGTCGACTCCCAGCTCACCCAAAGAACCATCGGCGACATCAAGATTGGCTAACTTTGCTTTGCCTATAAAGTTTCAACGGAAATTGGCCAATGCATGTATAGTGCAGCGGGAGGAATAAATTTTTTAATATAAATTGGTATGTAAAAAAAAATTTTCAACAGGATTTTCTGTTATTAATTTTTATTTCTCTATTTGTGCAGGTCAGGTGGTGATATTCTGTAAATAATTAACCACGATGTGTTGAAAATCAAACAAATAGCAAAATAATTAGAGAATTTATTCGTTTAAAGAAAAATTGTGGTGGTGGTCACGAAATTTATTTTTATTTTTTCTTATAAATCTTCAGCGCAAAAAATGTATCTCAAGGAATTGAGGAAAAAATTAGATGATTGCGAGATATGTTACAATGGGCGCTTAGTATGAAATTCAATAACGTAAAAAACAAGGAATAAAATAGACGAACAGAATCGAAATTTTTTTATGGTTGATAAACAATTATAATTAAAAAAATTGAAAGACAAGGCGAAAAAAAAGGAAATTATTGTAATGATTAAAATTTTTATCAATGGATCTAATAATACATGGATCTTGAAGAACGCTCTGGTTTTTTGTTGATAAAAATTTGAATAATTGACGATTCCGAAAAAAATCAAATAAACGGACTTTTTTTTGAGGATATTTTAGGTTTCTCATTTGTGATAATTTTATGGGGTGGTTACATGGCAATGAAGTCATTTTTGGCACAAACTTCAAATAATAAATATTAAAATATTTATTTTTATTATTTAATAAGTGTTTATTTTGTTTATTTTTTATCATTTAATATAAATATTTATTTTATCTAATGAAAATATTATAGCAGAAATCGATCATACGATACACAATGTTACAGAAAGTAAATATACATATAAGTATATTTCTATGACAAGATATCAATTGGTTTTCATATATTATTGTCATATCGAACAAGTTTTTTCTGTGTCTATGGATTATCCATACCAAATAAAAAATAACGTTTGCAGATGTTAATGGCATTACACAAATAAATGATTATGTATAATAAAATTCTACCGATAAATATATAGCCTTTCTCGTAAAATTATTTCCTCTAAAAATACAAGATTTAATTAAATAAAAAATTACTAAGAAAAAAACAAAAAAAAAAGAATCAAGATTACCTCCAAGACTAATTCTATAGATGCTCTATACTATTAATAATTATTATTCTCTTCGCAAGTTATCAAGCCTCGCCTGCAAGGCCGCATCATTATTAGGCTCCATATCAGCCGGTTGGGCGATTCTTTCATTCGCTGAAACTCTCTCAATATTACTGGGTGCATCAACAAGCTAAAAAAAATAATTATATGCTTTCATTATCGAATTTTCAAATAGTTGAACGCAAGAACACAAAGATACATACTGATTGATCCAAGGTAATGCCAATTTCATCCAGCACTTGATTTACAATCATGTCACTTTCTTCTTCATCTTCTTCATCTTCCATGGTGTCATCGATTACATCATTCATCATATCCTCTTTCATATCCATCAGTTCTGATTCTTTCTCGAACTCCATCATAATTTTCTGGATTGCGGGTAAATTCATTTGACGATTCATCGATTTCATAGCCTTTGGGCGCACAGCAAAAAAGAAGTAAGTTTATCAAAAAATAATAATAATAATAATTCAAACAAAATACGAAACAACTACACAAAAATTTACCTTAGTTGCTCCTTTCATCGCCTCAGCCATTTGCTGATTTGACCTCAGAGTCTAATTGTCAATAAATTTATTCATCCGATTATAGAAGGTGAAAATAATTTTGATCGGAATAGAAGAATTGAAATATAAGATTACTTGAATACGCAAAGAAACTGCCTGAAGTTGTGTCTTCATTGCTTGGAATTTGGATGAATAACGACGCGTTCGAACCAAGTCTTTGGCCATAATTCTGCATGCATTCTACCGATAAATATGTAAATATATATTTTAATTATACAGCTACAGATTAAAAGATTATTTTGCATTGTCGAAACTTTCTTAAACAGGTAAAAAGGAGATATTATACGTTACCATCTGATTTGCTTTGGCTGCTTTTTTTATATCTATAATAAGTTTCTTCTCTTGTTGTTCAAGTTTAACACGTTCACGGTCCAGCTCACGCTGTGCTTTCTGTAAAGCGCGTTGATGTTGCCGGAGCATTTCTGCCGGCGTTTTTTTTCGTCCAAAAAGCAATTCCTAGAAATTGTTAAGTTTAGTGCAAGGGTTCCTGGAAATTATTAAAGACGCAGCAAAGTTAAAAAATAAGAATACCATTATGCTGAGTTATGCCGAGTTTCGATCCTTCTTTCCTTTGGTATAGTGACAGGCTAAGAGGTACGGAGGGAATGTTAAATATGGCGTTCAAATTCTTTGAAATTAAAATGACGATGTGAGAGTATTAATAAATGTGGTCAACAAAGATACGCGAGTATATTTATCATTTTGAAATTCCACATCACGTGTAATAGATCATGAATAGCGAGTGTCACCTTTGAGAGAACCAATACTTTTCGTCAAGTGAACACCACTAACAACATGCCTTCTTCTTGCAAAGAAGTTCGTCAAGGCAGCTTTTTTTTTATAGTTTTATGATACCTATGATTATACAAACAACTCAATGGTTACTAACTAAATTATTTATCCATTATTTTATCTTTTATAGATTCGAAACGCCCTTGTGGAATGTTTATTATCTTCTGATTGTGTCCTAAAAGAGCGTCACACCCCCAAAGAATGTCTACAACGTGAACATGCTGATTCAACAAAAGAATGCCAAGCAATTAGAAGGAGTTTATTTGAATGCAAAAGATCTCAGGTTACTACATATATAAAAATGATCATCCAAATGCATGATTTCTATCTAACACATCATGTTTTCAAATAAAGTTGGATATGCGAACAAGATTTCGTGGAAATAAGCATTGAGCTCAAAGAATTCATATTATTATCATTTCATTTCAAAATTCAAACGTGAGACATAATTCGTTATTCAATACAGGATTTGGCACTTATGAGGCGTTGATCTACAGGTAAATACACAATAAATAACTATAAATATAATAAATATGCAATGGAATAATGGAATAAACTTAATTCTACCGAAATTCATACTTTTAAGTAGGGTATTAAAGATTAAGTATTATCTAATATACATAATAATAAATGAGTAAAAATTTCTATATTCTGTTGCTCCAAACAATATCGTGATTAATTTTATCCAGAAATGTTCGTTTCCATTATATGGTGATGATTTGGTGTCAATAGCCACAGTAGCGTATTAACTTGGTTCGATGAAAAATGAGTCACCAGCAGCATGTGTTCTCAAATATCTATTCCGATGTTTTGGCGACAATCGCATGAAATGACCTGATTACACAAAGGGTAAATCCAATCCGACATTTTGTAACTTATCGAATGATAATGTTTCTCGATTTTTTTTATTTGAGGATACTGCTGGTGCGGAATTACGGTTGTTTTTGTCTTTTTCTTTTTTCGATTTAGTGGATTTACCTGAAGGAACTTTTGGTGAATAAAAGAGCGGATCTATAGGGGCACGGCTTGGAGGTTGTGTTTGTCGTTTGGATGCAGAGACCGAAAAATTTGATTGACGGATGGGTTTCAAATCTTTTTATAGTTTCAAATATTTGTCGATATATGTATATATATATATTTATATATTTTTTATATATATATATGTATATTTTTTATAAATACAATAAATAAAATGCCAGCATATTAAAAAAAGATAAATTAAAACATACGTTGTTCACCCACGTTATTATACGACCTTCTAATTCCATTCTGCAATGCAGAAATTGCATCGGAAATCCTCGTCATCCATTCACTCTTCTCTTGTTCACTCTTGGCTCGAACTGTATGATTTACTTTAACCCCATCTTGTGTCTGAGTGCTTATTTGAAAACAGAATGGTTTATCTGCTTGGCCATCCTGAATGTCCTTTAGTGTAGCAAAAGCCAAATCAATTTGACCTTTATATATGTATTTTACTTTTAGATCCAAGCAGAATATGAGTAAATCATTAAAAAGAAAATGCGTTCGCGAGTCCTCTGTGCTTGTATACGCAAAGCGTGATTTGATGAATTGTGGAGGTCGAGGCAGTACTTTGTATAAATCTCCTCGGAAAATGAAACGACGTGCTGGTCTCACAATGGCAGATGGTAGTCCTTCTACTTGTCCCTGAATTTCAATAACTTTTTGTTGATTCTCAGCATCTCTTATCCTAAGAAATGAATCGAATTAAATTAAATTAAAATATAAGTATAATTTTATTTTTATTTTTAATATTGTTAACCCTACTTTTCATTCACATCATCCGCAATGACTGTTATCTGTTGAACACATTTCGTCAAAGAGGTATAGTCGGGATGAGACTCATGTGTGTATTTTAATAACGCTTCCAGTAGAAGCTTATATCGTGGAATACGTTGAATTGGCATGATTAAGAATGAATTCAATTGCAGGCCGTTGAGTGCTGGTTTCTCTGAACTTTGCTAAATTTGACATTACAAATAAATAAAAAAAATATATATATAAAAATAAAAATAAACGTGAAATAAAAAGACGTACTATTAAAAATTTCTTAAATGACTGGCTTTCTTTGTTTAATCGATCCATTGTTGCTATTGCTTGTGGGAAGCTCTTCAAATACGTAGTGTACATTTTTAAGTACGGTGCCTAAACTCATAAATATTATATTCAATAATTAATTGGCGTCATGCATATTAAAAATATTCGAAATAGCTTACAATTTGCAAAAAAACACCGCTAATAAGCTCTGTAGGACTCCAATTAGCATATCTTGTTATTAATTAGAATTTAATGATTAATTAAAAATAATTTACACCCTTTTCTTTAAAAAGAATTAATAAGCTCACCTCTCTTCTAATTGCTTGAGTAGCTGTTCGTGTAGAGAAAGTATTTGTTCAACATTGCCAAACAAAGCCGAAATATCTTCCATGGTTGCCATTGGTTTAGTCGAAAGTATCACATTTTTAGATGTGGATTTCTGATAATTTTCCTTTAAAGGAACAAGGAAATAGCTGACTAATTTTCTAAGACTATCTACATAAGTACGTTCAGTTGTAATAATTTCTTTCACAGCGGCCTCACGTTTCCTGTTTCTCGCAGCAACAGCTTCTGATTCTAAAATGTTATAATCAAATTAAACATCATAAAAATGGCCTAAAATAAACATGGGATAATCTTTTACCTATTTCTTCAGGGGACTTTTCTTTCGAGGATGAATTAAATGGATCATTCGAAACTCCTTGATACTGTGCAAAATTAATAGGTTGTGAACCATCGAGTTGGTGTTGACGATTTTGAGAACGTGGACTCGGATATTTCGCAGGATTTTCATCTATTTGTTGATTTTTTGATTCTTGTTCTAATTTGCGCTGTATTATTTCTAATTCTCTGCGAGAATCATCAAAATTATTAGAAAGATTTTGTTCTATTGGTGAGCGAATGCTATCATCATCATGATAAGCATCAAAAAGTTCATGAATTACATCATAAGCATTAAAATCAGTAGCTGCATCACCGACACTCCCAGAAAGTGAGGAGCGATGGGATGGTGCATCTGATTCGCTTAATCTTGAGCGATGTAAATTCCATTTTTCTCCTCCTCTTAATTGCTGTTCTGCTCTGGACGGCGACGAAGAAATAGAAGATCGATTAGATGATGGCAAAGAAGAAGAACGTGAACTAATTATTATATTACTATTATTATTATTATTATTATTCTGATTATATGATTCTGGAGTGATTAAATAATCTGAGGAGGAATTGCTTGCGTGATAATAATTATTTGAAGGTGAATGCGATGGTGTTAATATCTCTGAGTGAGCTTGATTCGTTAATGAATTTTGTGATAATAATATTTGGTTGGGTTCTAAATGAGAGGACTGTGAAAATGGATAAGTTGTTGAATATGGCTGCGGTATTGATTGAGGGGGGTCATTCTGTGTATGAGAACCTCTTCGAGATGTAGAGTATTGTCCCTGTTTTTGATGTAAATCAAAAGTCTGAAGGAGAGAAGAGGGTGGGTGTAATGGAGGCGCGGGAGTCGCCGCGAATGAATTATAGTCATCTGGGACACTCAAGTCGGAATAGGAAGAAAATCTCGTTCTATGATTACTATTGTTGTTGTTATTGTTATCAATGAGACTATAGACGTCCTCTTGTCTCTCCACAAGAGTTTGTGACGAGCTATCACTATAGATAGAGCCATGCTTACTTATATACCCCGAATCAGCTCGTGCCATTTCTTTAAATAAAATTAACTAAAAAACAGAATAACAAAAATCAACTCACCCTATCACTATATTATTAATTTATTATGAAACTGAGCCAATCCGGTTTCACAATAATAAGGTTATCATAAAACCCGATAACTTGTTTTGATTGGTTGGAATCGAAGATCAAAATAAATATTCAAATTTTCCCAAGAATCCTCCCGCCTTTAGTTATGGATTACAGTTCAGCGGATGCTCATTCGAAAGAGGACTCAACTAGCGAACTTTCGTCCACCGAGGATAATGAAAATCAAGCTATTCAACAGTTAGAAAATGAGGTTTGTCTCTAGGCAATATTATTGTATTTTTCTGACTGCTAAATTTGATCAAATTTTATCAGGTCTCCAAAAACGCATATGACTATAACACTCAAGTTCAGTACATTGAAGCACTTAGACGTGCTTCTTTATATGAAGAGTTGACAAGTGCTAGGGAAAATATGCACAAGATCTTACCTTTGTCGGAAGGTATTTATAAATTAGAAAATGACAATTGATTTTTCTAATTCGAGCCTAATTTATTTGCAATTTATTAGAATTATGGGTTCAATGGATCGAAGATGAGAGAAGGATAGCATCAACTCTTGATCAAATTAAGAGGGTCATCAGTTTACACGCCGAGTCAGTCAAAGATTATTTTTGTAAGTATTGATTATTATCTTGATCAAACTCGTTTGACTTCTTTAGCTGAATTGATGAAAAATATTATTATCCTCATTAGTAATAAAGCTCTGGAATGATTATATTCAATACGTCATTGATCAATACAAGAGCTCGCTTGAGGATGATAATATTCAAGTTGTTACTCTTGAAGAAGTGCGAAATATCTTGCGAGAGGCAAACAAGAAAACTGGGTGTAATATACCGGAGGTTACTCTCCTCTCAATTTCTCTTTGTATATAAGTTTTTTAATTATTGGTGACTTAAAATCGCTCTTTATACACAGAGCCATATTATTTGGAATACGTATATAAATTTCGAAACAGAAATTATGCAGGTTAGTTATACATTGCTTTTGGAAAATAAAAGTTCTAAATTATAACAAATAATTGTATTTTTTCTTTTTTTAAGAGCTCGAAAAGGTATACATTCGTCAATTTAAAAATTTAGCTTCGATTTCGAGAAAAACATAAGCTTAGATTATTATTCAATTACGCTTTCAGCGATTACGAAGAACAGAAAGTTAATGTTCGTAACCTATATCTCGATAGACTCAGAGTTCCACACAAAAGTAAGTTTTTACTATTTTGCCATCAATTTCCCAATCCATGCATACAAAGATTTGTGAATTCAATACGTAATATAGACCTAGAACAGACGTGGCAAGACTATTCACAATTTATCTCAAAAAATTATTCGAGTGACTATGAGCATATTATGGTAGAAGCGAATAGAATCTACTCAAAAACTTTGCAACGATACAGACAAAAAGAAACTTATGAGGATTCTTTGGTAAATTGTCATTATTGAGTTCCTTATTTATAAAAGGGTATTTATGTCTCGTTTTATTCTCTTAGGTGAATTCTAATTACTCCTTAGTTGAATTTCGAAAATATATTAATCATGAAGAAAATGAAAGATCAAAAATTGAAAAATCTAAGGATCCTGAGGACAAAAATTACAAACAAATAGCCCATTGGTTGATTATCATGTTGTACGAAAGAGCTCTCGTATATCATTATATTGACGAGAATTTCTGGGAAGATTATATTGGGTATTTGCTAAAACACAAAAAAATTGCTGTGGCTGTTGAAGTATCTGAAAGAAGTACTCGAAATTGTCCTTGGTCAGGCGCGCTATGGAGTCATTACATCCGAACACTCATTAAGAATAATACTTCACATGATGTCATTATGAATACCGTATCTCGAGCACTGGATATAAGCATGTTGAATAATAAGGATCGACTGGATGATTTGATAAAAGTCTTGTTGACTTATTGTGACTATGAAAGATTGAGAATCAATTGGAGACGTGGCACAATTGATGAAGAACATGCAATTGATCTTAGAGCTGCTTTGCAATTTGGTTTGGAAAAAATTGGTCAAGGTAAAATTTATTTATTTTATAATAATAGACTCGTAAACAAAAATACTAAACTAAATTTGCTTTAATGTTAGTTGCTCCGGATGGTGATCCCAAATCTCGTTTAGAATTCTATTATATAGAATTTGAGGTAAACTTATTATTGAATATATTTTTTGGAAAAAGATTATTTCCTAGTATTACCCTAATAATAAGTAATATTAGACACAAATAAAAAATTACGCGGAAGCTCGTAGGATCTGGGAAGAGGTTACAAATAAGCGTAAACACGAGCCGGAAATATGGCTTCGATATGCGGAATGGGAAAAGTATGTTAATAAAAATTTGAAATTATTCATTGAAAAGTTTTTTATATAATTATATTATTTTTTAAAGGTCTTTAAATAATATTCAAGAAACACGTAACATTTTTAAAAAAGCGAGTCAAATTAGATTTGATTGGCCCGAGATCATTTTTGAAAGTTGGGAAAGTTTCGAGCATCACTATGGAGATTTTGAAAGTATCGAAAACGCCCTTCTTTTCATAAAAACTCGATTAGCCATTGTGATGGCGCGACGGGAAAAAGTGAGTATTAATTTTTCTTTTTAATATTTTTATCACCATTAAATAATTAATGATTTATTTAGGAAGCAATTCAGCAATCTCAAAACGTTTCTACAGACATGCAGCAATTCCAAAATGAGGCTACAGAAAATCAGCAATATCAAAACGTAGCTACAGAAGTTGAAAATATGACGATACGTGATTCTTTAAAAAGGAAGCCAGAAGAAACTTTAGAAGAATTGCACCCTGCCAAGCGAAATAAAGAAGAGAGCATAGAAGATATGGATATTGAGCAAGAATCATCGTCGGTGAAAGGTTGCGAATCAAACTTTATTTTCTTAAAATAAAGAAATCACATATTTACATAATTTCCAAAAATTTATTTAGAAAAACGAAAATACACCAGAGTCAGACGGTAATTGAGGAGTATTTTAATAAATCTTTTCAAATCTGGATGAATAAATTATTTTCTTACGCGGATTAATTTCGTTGAATAGCGATCGTGAACATTCTACTATTGCCGTAGTTAATTTGCCTGATGGAGTCAAGCAAGGACAACTAAAAACTCTCTTTAATGACGTAATGGATTTTATGACCAATTCTTTTTGACATTCATTAATAATCAGTAGAAAAAATTTAACATAATGATGTTCTTTATTTTTCTAGTGCGGAAAAATAAACGAGATTCGCATCATACCAGACGCTCAAAAAAGAGAAAGTATTGCGTATATTGAATTTTCCGACAGGGTATGTATGCAATTAACTCATGGATTATGCGTAGGAACAAAATTAATGATCCCAATTTAAAAAATGCAGGATAGTATTCTCGGCGCTTTAACCAAAGACAAAAAGAAAATAGATGATAATGAAATATCCGTATATCAACCAATCGCACAAACTCTATATGTCACGAATTTTCCAGAGTCTACTAATGAGCAAGATTTGCTGAATATATTCAAGAAGGAAAATATTATTATACAAGATTTATAACATTGATCGTTCATTTACTGTACGTAACCCCTCCCCTTTTTTTTTTGTTTTAATAGTATGGAGAAATAATTGATATTCGAATGCCAAGTGCCAATGTTAAGGGTGTTAAACGTAGAAGGTTCTGTTATATTGAATACAAAACACAGGTTAGCTCTTTATTTATATTTCGGATTATTAATTACAATTTCTTATTGGGATTTCATTTCATTTATTTTCCTATTCAGGAATCTGCGCATGCGGCTTTAACTGAAAATGGGCAACCATGGTTTGGATTTCCCCTTTCAGTTAATATCTCTGATCCTGATAAGAAGAAAAAAAGATCCCCTCCATCGTAAGTATTTGGGTTATATTTCCTTTCGAAATCTATCTTTTCGTTTTATTAACGTGTATCTTACTATCACAAACAATTAGTAAAAATGAAATTATAATACATAATCTTCCCAGTCAAGTGGAGCAAGATGAGTTGAAAATGTTGTTTCAACCCGTATGTACTTGATGTTTGTTTATTAAGTTCCGTAAATTTAAAATTAATAAGCGATAATTAATTTCCAGTATGGTACAATAAAAGATATCAGGATTAATTTGAACGAAGAGGGAAAGTGTATCGGAACTGCATTTATTGATTTTCTAAAACAAGTAAGGTGATAAAATGTCGAGTTTGGAATTGTGGGGTATACAAATAATTATTGTTTTTCGATATCGAATAGGAAGAAGCTCAAGCTGCGGCGAAAGCTGTGAATCAAGTCGATTTTAAAAATAACTGTCTTCGGGTGGTGGTTGCTGATCCCAATATAGACAAAAAAGTCAAGGAGTAAGCTTTTATTAAAAATTAATTTTTATTATGTTTCCAAAACTAAGAAGAATGGTGATTGAATTCATAGGAAAGAACCATCCATTGCGACGAAGCGGGATAGAAGTATTAGTGTAAAACAGTTGCCGAAAGATGTAACTAAGGAAAACTTGCAAGAACTCTTTTCCAAGGTAAAGAATATATGCCCTACTACTCATAACTATTGATAATCAAGTCCACTTTTATTGACTTTTTCTGTGTTTCTAGTGCGGCACTATATGCCATATTAGTTATGACAACAAAGCGCACACTGCAGAAATTGAATATACGGGAGTTGAGGTATTTATTGCCATTTTTTCTATTTATGTCTTCTTAAAAATGGTTATTTCATGATTTATTGTGTCCTAGGATGCTGCGAAGGCTACTTTACGATTCGACAAATATGAATGGCACGGTATTAAAATATCTGTGAAATTTGTAAAGCAACAAAATACAGCCGCAAGTTCAAAGTAACCGTCAATTTTACTTTTATTCTCAAGATAATAAATTATTCTATTAGTGAATTTTTACTCATCCAATATATAATAATATAGGCAATTGGTTCCTCGAACTGCATTGATGTCTCCCAGAAATGCATCAAGAAACAAAATTTCGTTTAAAAAATCATCTATTGTTACGCCGTCACCTTCCAAAAGACATTAATGTAAACTTCTAATACTAAACAATTATTAATTGGATGAACACCAAATCAATAAATTTGAAAGTTGTTTTGATGATTTTATTAGTCTCTAATCTCCTTTTTTTTTGCAACACGTAAAATAGATAAGGAGAAACAGACATAAGAATATCATATAAGAATTTAATTATTATTACGCCAAGTAAATTAATTTAGTGGGATCTTCTTTGTCTCTTTCTAGATACTCGCGATCAATTAGTGACTCAATTCGCTTTTTGATGTCTGCTACCTATATTATTGGAAAAATAAAACTAAGTTAAAATGTTTCGCTCAAATCAAATAAAAATAAAAAATCCTTACGTGAGATTTGAATTTTAGTTGTTTAATTAGCTCGGAGATAAGTTGATTATGGCCAAGTTTCTTCCTCATCTTCATTATACGGACAAGAGCAGCGTCTACTTGGTATTGTCGATCAAGAAATACTCGTTCTGTTGTCATTAAGTTTTCTTCCGACTAATTAAGTAAATCATTTAATACCAAATAGTAATAAAATCGTCGAGTAAAATAAGAGCATATAAGAATAATAATACCGTCTCCTTTAGTTGAATGGAATTTATCTTAATTCTAGTCAATTTATGTTCAAACTCTTCGTTAAAGGAAAACTCATCCGTGGTATTAATGTCACGTCCTATTGGATGCTTGTTAATAACTTTAGCTTTGCCGCAAGCAAGAGATTGAAGGGTTCGCTCAAGCTCCTTTGTTTCTGTAATTCAAACGAGAAATTAATAAATTAATAATACGAAATAGAGAACGATTATAATAATTTAGGATACGTGCCAATAGACGTTAATTCTTTGATCTCCTGGTAAGAAAGTTTCTCACCCGGCGACAAATCATTAAATTGCAATAAGACCACAGCTTGGAAACAGCTCACCATTAATTCCTTTTTTTTCTATTGAAACAGATGCAACATAAGTATCTCATTTTCTATTTTGTGACAAATATGTAATTAGTTAATAGCATACCTTAGGAAAATGTGCTGATAATATTGCCATTCCTAGAGAGTTCTGCCATTTGAGATTGCGACCAGCATATTTTGTAAGATAAAACTCTTGAAATTTTTTTTGGCAAAGATCCACCTAAGAAACGAGAAGAAAAATTAAAAAAAATGCCATACACATAATAAAACCATAAAAAATATAAAAGAATTTACGTAAGGTGGTATATTTGCAGGTGAGGGTGGATAAGTAGGCCAAAATCCCTGTGTCAGAACATTGACATCTAATTCGATTTTAGTGTGCTCAATTTCCTTTGCAAGTTTCGAGGTCTAAAATAATTGGAAATGTCAATGTCGGTGAAAAAAAGAATTATAAAAAGAATTATTTAACATACTCTAAACGTTCGTATTATGTCACGTGATAGATCTATATCCTTGAACATGCCCTCAAGTTTGCTTGTGAATCCTGCGCCACATTCTATTTTTGGGAGAATTATATTCTTCAGTTTCCATTACATTCATTATCTATATTCCAAAATTTTTAAACACCTTGCTTTAACCTCAATAGCATGCTCTTTTCAGCATCTTTCGATGCACTTTTATTTAATAGAAGACGTTTTGCCAAGTCACGTTTATAGAAAGCTTCGAAAATGTCTTTCCCTTTTGAGAATAATAGAATATATTGAGTATATACAATTGACCCGAAGCTTTTAGAATTCGGAAGATTATAATATACCTTGAATATATCTAAACAAGAGTAACGCATCATCCATAATTTGGTCCATCTCATCTTCATTCATACCCTTATTTGCCTTCAACTTGGCGTCCAGATATTTGGCTAATAATTTTAATTTCAATAAGTCACCAATAAATCTTTGAAGAAAAAACCGAAATAAAATCACACACACCTATCAATTCGGCTGGCTTGTTTTGACGTTGATTTATAAAAGTCTCAAAGCTTTCTTTTAATGTATTCAGGAAATTTGGATTTTTACGGAATGAATTATAAACTATGTCATCCAATTTTCCCTTAAGATCCAATAAATCTTCAACCATATGAGGATCACGTTCAGTATCTGTAACAATTGCAGTTCCAGTTTTCTATGAAAAAAAAAGTGGAGCAAAACTATTAAAAGAAAATTTTCAAATCTAAAACAAAATGAAGAGATTACCTTTATATATACGCCAAAACTGGTACGTAACAAGTCAAGAGCAGAAACTTGTTGAAATAGATCATAAAGTAAAGCCAGATCTTTTTGTTGTTCTCGATTCATCATCTCCGGAAAACCTGATATCAAATTTATTTCTCGTTATTATTTTAGTTTCAAAATGTTCCTCGAATTTATGCATCAAACCTTTTTCCAATATTAAATCTAAATGATTTTCTAACAACATAGATTCAACTGCCTTTATTAAATTCATTTTCGTTTTACGGTCTAAGTATGCTCTATTTCTTTCACTTTCTTTTTCCAGCCGATTTTGAACATGATGTAAATATTCAGGAATCTCCATTACTTCTAATAAACGCTGAGCTTCTTTATCATAATAATCCCGAGTAGCTTGCAAGAAATAACTCTCAAAAGCAGTGTTATAAATAGAAAGATCTATATGCATTCGAATGAGCGAGTGAAGAAGACTGCGGTCAACAGATTCACCATCCCTAATATGTTTACAAATTGAGCAAGTAGTTGAGTTGAATCGGAAGGATTTCATGAAAATTCTTTTTGATTCAATTAATACCTTTCCTTTGTAATCAGAGTTATCAACCCTTCGCGTGTCTTTTGTCTTAATGGACCAGTTGGAGACATGATATGTTTTCGAAATAAATCGATGCCCATATCCCTTATATATCAATCAAAAAACCTTTTAAAATTTGTGAGATAGAAAATGATGAAAATGTTTGAAGAAAATTTTGAAATTCCTCCTACCATAATGATGCTATTCCTGAATTCCGAAGCACATATGTACGATCTAGATATAAGAAAATACTCCTTATCAATCCCTAAAATTTACGCGCTTTATTAGTCTGTAATTATAGAAAATTAAGTAAAATTTCATTGATGAATATTTACCATTTGTTGTTGATGATCCTTCCATAGTTGATTGATCGACAATAAAAAGATATCACTTTCGGCTGGATTGCTAACAAAATAAATTAATAATGGTAAATGAATAAGCACGGAAACATGTAAAGAAATCCAACCTCAGCAACTTGGCATGTTCGTTTACAATATGAACTTCAATTTCATTTTTAAGTCTTTCATATAAAGAATTGGCCATTTTATGAAGACATAGATTCTCACAAGCTTTATACAACTCTTCGAGGCTATCACTTGCAGGCTGACTATTATGGATTGCTCTAATCGCCTTTTGCAATTTGGCCCATGTAAGCTCTTCATAGTTATCCGGTAATTTGGGCTTTTCTATTATAAAAAAAACGCAAGGATTATTTTAATAGTACTGAATAAAATCTAATCGTGAAAATGACGTATACCTTTTAAAGGTCTTATAACTAACTTTTTGGGAGGTGGCTTCAATCCTAGTTTCTCAGCACGTTCAGAAACGTTATTTTGCAGGCCAATTAACGGCTTGTTGGAAGAAAATATTAAATGTTCCTTAGAGGCATTTGTTGCGAGGCCTAGCGTGTTTTCAGTTTGACTAATAGGTGCAGGTATTGAAGAAGAATTTAAGACAACCGGAGAGAGATCTGTCGAGTTGTTGGAAACGTTTATATTTGTATTGCTGCTGCTATTTAGCCGTGTGCGCTTATGTGTCCTTTGTGCCATATCAAGACAGAAAATCCAAAGACAAGAAAATTCAAAATACGCGAGAATCGAACTCTATAATCTTTGAAGATCTACAAATTTCGTCGTCATTTCATCATGTTCAATATCATGGGATTTTTCAGGTCGCAAAAGATCATCATCTTTTTTACCACATAATACTCTATAATTATTCATTCTTTTTACTTTGAACTTTTCTCACTTTAGTAAACCAAAAACTAAAAAACAACTTCAGCCGCGAGCAAAAGACACTCTTTGTAGTTTGTTTAAACACCCTGTGTATTATAGGCATTTGTGAATACAAGTAGAACACCCTTTGATAGTTAGTTTGTTAGTCATTCTTTTTTTTTTTATTTTCCGCTGTTGTGCAGTGGCAAGAAAAAATAAATAAAAGCTTAGAAAAAGCATATCGTGTCAATGGCAGAAGCATTTATAGGTCTGGATGTTCATGTGGTTCTTAGTGACAACTCTTGGGTAGAGGGAACTGTTTCACATATTAATCAAGATACTCAGTTACTAACCCTGAAAAATGGTCGGTTGAAAAAAATCATTACTTTTTCCTTTTCGTGTAGATAACAAGCATTGAAAGTATTACATTTTCTAATCTTAATTGAACTGTTAATTTTTTAGTTACTTATAATTTGAATGGTCATACTCTTCAGCAAGCGATTTATGGCGTTGCTGGAGCAAATATCAAAGATCTATCTATCCTTCCAACAACAAGGACCTCAAAACCACCACCATCACAAATATCTGCACACACTTCTGAATTAAAAAACTATGCTGAAACTAAAAAACTTAGTAATGGTGTAGAAATCATACAAATTAATAATTCAAATCCTCTTACGGCCCAAAATAATGGGCAATCGAGCAAAGCGTTACCAAGATCACCGTTTTCAGATCCAGCCATTATATCGGTTAATATATAATTTTTATTTCAAGCTTTTCGGATTAAACCGTTGAAAATTTTTAATATTAAAGTTTCTGTCAACTGGTTTCGGTTCAATAGTTTTCTCATCTACCCACCAAATCAACATATTCATCAACTCCGTATGTCCATCAACCAAGGTATATAATTGTTTATTATGCTTGTGCGATTTCCCTCAAAAAGAGGACTCCGTTTTTCATTCGCTAAAATTGTTTCTTTAAACAAATCAAATTTAATTTTCGATATGTTAAGGTCTTCTCCAACATATCTCTCGGTAAATTAAGAATTATTATTAATTGAATTTTTTTGACTAATCACTTATAAAACACCTGTTTCTATCCTCAATGGTTTTTCGCTTTGATAAAAAAGCTTAATATGTTATATTTTTACCATATTAGCAATTATTATTATCAAAGGACGAGCAGCGATCAAATGAAATATTACCAGACAATAATTACGATGTTGTTCAATCTGTGAAGACAGGATCAACAGGCGATAGTGAATCCAAATTGGATGAAGAAGATGAGCGAGATAGTCTTAAACAGTACAGTATAAACTCCAAACAGCACTTATCAAATGGAAATCACCAAAACGGAAGAGAGTCGAGTGGATTTGAATCTGATGGGACAACGCCTAATCATAAAAAGGCCTCTAAAAAAAAGGTAGTTTCATTATTCTTTGGAGTGAAATTATCTAAAATTTATTATTCACATTATTTAAAGAACGCATATAATTTATAGCAATCTAATAATGTGAATGGCTATTATCACAATTCACGCGAATCGCCAGGTAACTTTTATTTTTTTATACTATTAACATGCACAAAATATACACATAATAATGTTATACATCTATTATACTGATCCATAAATAAAGCTCGAAAAAATGGTCGACGTCGTCGTCATCAGATTCAACATGAATGGGCAGGTGAAGATGTAAATGAATTTAAGTCGGAAGAATTTGATTTTCAAGGCAATTTAGACTTATTTGATAAAGAAAAAGTTTTCGCCGAAATTAGAGTAAGCGTGATTATTTTCTCGTTAAGTTACAATTCGTATTTCCTTATTTAAGTGGTCGTTGCATTTCATAGGAATTAGATTCTACTGCCCCAGAGAGCCTTTTAGTAAATATTAATCGGAATCCAAATTACAATAATCGTAATGGTCGTTATTCAGCGCAAGCGCAACAACAAAAGCTCGCATCACACGAGAATGTACTTGAGCCTTCGAATCGTAAAACCAATTTTTATCATACCGACGAAGAGGATGAAACCGCCAATGATGGCGAGGTAGATTCTGATGATTCTTGGAGGAAAAAAAATAGCATAAATGGCACTGTACCTCATAGAAACGCACGGATAAGGACACTTACTGGTGTTTTATGCCCAACTGTCCAACCCGTGCAGATGGTTGAGGTTGAGAGAATAGCAAGTAAATATTTATTTTTTTTTAGTTTATAAGTTAATGATCAATTTTAAGTTTACAATTTAATGATCAGCTTTAATTTTACATTCAACTATTTTGCTTATTTTGAATTTTAGCTACTGAAACAGGCCCAAATGAAGATCAAATGATTGAAAATGCTGGACGTGGCACTGCTATGATGTGCCTACAAGCATTAGGTAATATTACTATCGATAATAATTGTTTTAAACAGCTTCTTAAGTAAATATTTGTTACATTGATTATAAAGGTGGTTCTCGACGTATACAACCACAAAATCATAATGCAGCACCTCTCGTAGTGATACTTGCTGGGAATAACAAAACCGGTGCATACGGTATTGCAGCCGCACGGCATTTAGCAAATCATGGTTGCCATGTCATCACTTGTGTGGTTGGAAAAGAAAGAGACTTACTTAAGGTACCTAATAATATTATATTTTATACTAATATTTTTTATCGATATTCGATATATTAAATATGCTATAAATTATAGAGCATCATATATCAACAAAAAATAATGTTGCCAACTGGAGGAAAAATAGTGAAAAGTGTAGCAGGTTAGTGAAAAATAATAGTAAATCAATTATAATGCTTAAATTTTTTATTTCTAAATAAGATTGTCGTATTAGAACTTCCACATCAATTTACAAATCCCGTGGACTTGATTGTGGACGCTTTGCTGGGCTACCAATTCACGCTCCGTGATGTTCCAGAGGAACATGAAAGACGATTAATTTGCGAGTTGATGGAATGGGCAAATGTCAATAAAGCGCCCGTGTTAAGTTTAGATATGCCGAGTGGTGTCAATGGCAATACTGGTAAGTAAATATGCATAAAATTTCAAAATAATCTATTTCCAATATAATCTAAATTTTTTTTTGTTCAAAGGTAATCCTAGCAATACAGCACATTACATTCATCCAAAATGGACGCTTTGTCTTGGTGCACCAAAAGCTGGTTGCAAATCGCGTTCAGTGACTGGCGAGCTTTTTCTAGCTGATATTGGCATTCCACGTATTTGTTGGAAGAAAATCGGAGTGAAAGGCTGGGGCATGCCTTGGGGCAGCGAGTATCTAATTGGTCTGGAGTATGCTTAATCATAATCTATCTATCTGATAATAACCATTCTTTTATAATTTGTGGAGTTATTTTTTTTTAATTATGGATGATTATTACTACAACTTATTTAAGATAACCGAAAGTTAATTTACTTGCTACTCTTTCCTTTCTTAATCATCTATCTAGCAACTACTTGTATTCCACATCATCTTAGTTTAATCTTGGTTGTTGCTCACGCTTTTTTATCCATTTTCTTGAAAACAACAATCCTTATTTGTCCGATCGTCTTTTTCGTTGTAAATGATCAATAAGTCAATACTTAAAGGCAAAATACGATGGCTTTTATAATTATTGCATCATCTCCGGAATTTTTGTCTTCATAGTATTGAATCAAACAATAAATCTTTTAAATCTCAAAACCTTTTGTGAAATTAGTAAATAATAAAAATGGTTTATTTTATACGTATGCATTTTCAATTTTTATCATCATATTGCTTTACATTGAGAATTAAAGAAATAATTGTTATTTTATAATCATAATATGATAACATTTCAATCTATAGAATGTACATATATTTTTCTAATATTATTATTATTTGTAAAAAGTTTAAAATGCTAAAAGCATATTATATAGATTACTCAGAATTCTTTTCTTTATAAATAAATGATATTGGATAATCTTTTTATCTTTCGAATATTGAATAGAACGAGTTACACGATGTAGAGAAAACTAGTAACAATTTTAATTTCTGATTTTAATTAAGCAGAGGAATCAGTGATATTCAAAGTAAGATATATGATGTTGCTACTTATGCATTTAAAATTATTTATTTTATTATTTCGTTGATCTAATTCTCATATTTCCTTGCGCATCATGGAAACTTTAGAGACAAGTATTTATTATAAGCAAAAATACTTTGTTAGATTTTCTCTCAATCGTTAATCTTTAATTTTTTTTCTTTCGCAAAAAATCAAGTAAAGCGTAAACATATCAAACAAAACCGCGCTATAATAAAGTAATATTAAACTGTATAAGATCCGAAAACATTAATTTTTATGCAAAGATTAATCCTTGATTCTGGACGCACGGGATGTTTTGTTTCCAATTAAAATAGAAGTAATACATTATACGCGATTCAATTGCGCAAGGCAGAAGTAGAAATTTCTCGTCTCTCCATCGAAAATATCGAGTTGAGAGCAACGATCGCACAGTTGAATGACCAAATTGATAAATTGCAGTGCGATAAACAGAATCCTGTGAATAAGAATTGTCTGAATTCATTTAAGGAATTTATTAAATAAGTTTTCGAAAGGTGGAGTAACTGGGTTAGATAGGCTAATTGAGATTTTCTTCTTATTATAGGCCAAAAGTGGTCAAATAGCGGATATTATCAATCAACTTCGTACCGCCGCAGATTCTTTAAATTCTCTGGTAGAATTTAATCCTCAAAAGCTTGAAAATGATGATAATGATAATGATGAAGACATTAATAATGGTAAAAATTATTCACGAGATTTAATTACTCTTGATTTACTTTAACGTACGCATCTCCAATGGAAATCTTTAGAATTGATCTTCAAAGATATCATCAACGAGGGATCTCGAGCTAATTCAATAGCTTATCAATGCATAACTCCGGCGGAATTAGACTCATGGGCTGAAAAAATACCAGATAGAAAAAAACCAGTAAATCTCGTAAAGTATCAAGTAAATTTTCTTGATAATAATGAGAAATCTTTTAATTTTATCTCTTGTTTATATAGCTGAAACAATATCGTACATTAACGAATAAATTATCAACAATTGAAGATGAACCAGAGGAAACATCTTTCTCAAAAGAGGATCTCATAGTGGACATGTATGTAAAAATTGATCATATTCAACTGGTCATATTACAAGGTCATTTATATATTTTTCTATTGTTGCTTTTATTAGAGATCTTTTAAATAATCATGCTAATATCCTTGACGACGAATCTCGAGCATTTCAACGTAATTCGATACTGCGACGAAATACTTTCCAATCTCGACGCAAACCTTCGCCTCCATTTATTCCTAACGAGATGAACTCCTATCAGGTCAATTTAAATACGCCCATCCAGTATTCTCAACAATTCGAATATAACACTTCACCTCGCCTATCATCAATTCAACAATTCAAACAATTCCAAGATTCTGCTCGTCGTCACCAATCACTTCATGATCAAGCAGATTCCCCTGAATTGACTGAATCGACCTCTATGGAATCTAATAATTCGCCCTCTTTATTTTCTCAATCAGAATCAGCGACTAAAAATATAAATATGGCAAGGAAACCCTTAAAAATTGCTACAAATTCATACATAAGACAAGAATCAATAATTAATAATGCTAGCGTCAGTAACAACTTGATAAGAAAATCTACGGAGACGATGGAAGATTCGCGTGGTACGACAAAAAAGACTGAGGAGAAATCAAATTTAACAGATTCAAACATTGGGACATCGGTTTCAGTCAGCGATAACGGTATTCAATAAATATATGATTTATTATATTAAGAAAAAACTTTGTTCAACCATTTTATTTCATATTAGAACCGATTCGTTCGAGAAGAAAAACACAAGTCAGCTATGTTGAGCCTAGTCTTCGCAGGTAACTAATTACTGAATTACTTAGTAAACTATACCTCATCTTTATTCACTTTATGATAGTAAATTACGTCAAGGTGACCCTTTCACGAGTTCATTTGGATGGACGGAATCAAACTCCAATAAGAGGAGTACTCGATCCAAACCTAAGAAACACAACACAGCAACAAAGCATCGCACCGCACTCTCAAACATCACAAATTGTAACTCATTTTCGTTTCAGCTATTGAGTAAATATCTGCGGTTAATTTTACTCAACTAATTGATTGTATTCCATTTCTTAAAAGATACGGAATAAATATAACAATTAATTTATATATATATATTTATTTATTTATTTATTTAATTCTATAATGTTTTCTGAGGATGTGCATTTATCGCTTCTCCCCGAAAAGCCATCATTCAATTTCTTAGCTTTCTAAACAAATTTGATCAAACAATGGATTAAATACATCAGGATCCAAATTTCGTAGCACCTGACAATCATTCTGAAACTGTGGATGACTATTACATGCAAACGAAAGTAATCGACATAAGCTCTGTAATCTTTCTTTAAATTTTATGAAATTATCGGTGGGCTTTTCTATATCATTAATCAAATTATTTAGTCAAAGCTCTATAATGCGTTATTATTGCTCTTTTGAAGAAAGTGGCGAAAATGAAATGCTCCTTACCGTTTTTCTCGAACGCAATAGTTTGACTCCAAGAAGTAACTATCGCTTTTAGAATTGGGCCTTCGTATCGAGGAATCCTAATAATCAACAACATTAGAATTCGTACAATAAATATTGAAAAAAAGCTAATAAAAATACCTTGGCCAACAAGTCATGATAATATGCTCAAAAGCAATAGCGGCGGTGATATGCAATTCTAGAATTCGCTTATTACTCGTTATATTAAGTGGAATTTCTAAAATATTGCTAATAGCCGGAATCAAATGCTAATTGACAATAAACAATATGAATAATAAGCACTTGAAGAAAAATATCATTCTAATGGTTGACGTCCTAACAAACCTTTAAATATTTAACCATGCAAATTCCAAGAGCATCCGCAAAAGGTGGAACCTGTTCTAATAATACTTTACGAATTGAAAGTCTATCATCCGCGAAAATTATTCCTCGGATAATATGATCAAACAAAACCTTTTCAAATTTAGCATGTTGTGCTTTAATATTTGATGATTCTATTAATGGTATGAGATTGAGAATAGCCGAGAAACTTGTGCGCAATAAAGGTAAGTACTTTTCTTCGCTCTGATATGTTAAGCAAACTATTAATGCCTATATTGTTAACATAAATTTCGATTTTAATTCAACTAAGAAATTGTTAAAAACTTTGTAATGTGCAATATACAATAACCTCATAGAAAATGTTGCCGAGTCCCGTACGTTGTATAATGGCAGGTTTCACTTGCTTTAAGAGGTGATCAAGAATGGACGTGCCTTTAATCTTGAACTTCACATTATAATCATCAATTAAAGTCAACATTGGCGGAATGATTAAGCTAATCATTGTGTCAAGTTCGGGATGCTATTTTTTTTTAAAAAGTTTTAGCCTGTCTTTTATAATGTATCATTTCTCAGAATAGGATAAAATAAATAAATAACCTGAATCTGCATGACAATCCACTCCAATATTGACGCGGCCAGACTAATATCTAAGCGTTTTGACTCGTCAATACTATTTGCAGTTTTATCACGCTGTTTTTTTGCCTTTGAACTGGTTTTGTTGAACTCGGCATTTTGCAAAAAACATGGTTTTACGAATCTTTCCAAGATCTTTGTTGCAAAGATTTGTATTAGTCGTGACACGGACGGGAAACGTTCCGGATCTAGAGATGTAATACTTTCTAAAACAGCTGAATAGAAAAGCGTAAAATTAACATCAAGCTTTATTTAAATAAAATAATAAAAGTTTCGTACAATTTGCTTTATTATTCAATTCTGAGTCCACCCAAGATTCTTTTAAAGCAATAAAAGTTCCACATGTATAGACCAGATCCTGCAATATTTCATCTTTGATAATTATTTCCACCTTGCCATCTTCTTCACAATTCTTATTTTTTATAATCTCCTTGAAGAGTTTTCTAATCTCCTCAAAAATCGATTTTGATCGTAATGCGAATAAATTTGCTTTCTGCAGTAATTCGGCATCTTTTTTAAATCATTTCATGTTAATGATTTATCCTTTTTTTTTGTGCTGAGATCGAAAACAAAGTTAATTAGTTTACCAGTTTCGTAGTTATCATCTTTTAAATAATTTGGAATCTGGAGATTTTTACACTTATTCTGTATTTCTTTCTCGTTATTGGTGATCATTCTTCTATTAAAAGCATTAGTTAATTAACATCGATAATAGTTATACCATAATTTAAATTTACTCATTCGATGTTCATTGAAAATATCGATATCTAATGGCTGATTTTTTATTCTCATTGCAACAAAGCCAGCAATATAATCTCTTTAAATCCCCAAAATATTTAAATTTACAATGACATCATCAAAGTTCCAATTACCAATCAGGAGCGACTCATCAGGGTTGTGACTCACATAAAGTTAGGGTTCATATAATTGTTTATTCCTCCTCTCAAATCTCCACCCAAAGAAAATTTAAAGATTATGTGAGTATCAATCCATTTTAACATTTCAATTAATTTGCGTAGGATCTCTTTTGGGAAGCGTTCGATGGATCAATCTAATTTGATGAATAACCTTTATTAACGAGTAATTTCTTTAATACGGTCATTTGGACGTGTTTCTCCTGTATTTACATTTTAGCAAATGGCTGACTCAGGAACGGCCGATAGTCGCGGTGGTAAGTTTATGAAATTGAAAAGGAGCGCGTAACCTTAGTTTAATGATAATTTTCCAAAGAAACATTGAGAATTTGAGAAATTGATATTCTTTGGTATTAACATAAAGCGCTTGTTTTTTTTATTGTCGCCTTGGATTTTAAATTAATTTTGGGCATTCTACTCGTATAGGACGTGGTGGTTTTGGACGTGGTCGTGGCGGTGGCGACAGAGGACGCGGTGGGCGTCCACGTGGACGCGGACGTCGCGGTGCTCGCAAGGATGACGAAAAAGAATGGTAAATAACTTTGTAGATCATGTGAATTTTTATATTAATTTTATTGATTTAACTTTTGTGATTATATTTAGGGTCCCTGTAACCAAACTTGGTCGTCTTGTAAAAGATGGCAAAATTACAAATATTGAAACAATATACCTGAGCTCTCTTCCAATCAAAGAATATCAGATAATAGACCATTTTCTTCCAAAGTTGAAAGATGAGGTTATGAAAATTATGCCTGTTCAGAAACAAACTCGTGCAGGTCAACGGACAAGATTTAAGGTTAATTTTTTCTTTGAATGATTTCTTATAATATCACAAGTTCACAATTTTAGTTATTTAATAAAAAAAAATTAGGCTTTCGTTGTAATTGGTGATTCTAATGGACACGTAGGTCTTGGCGTGAAATGTTCAAAAGAAGTAGCCACCGCCATACGGGGGGCAATCATTCTTGCCAAGCTCTCTGTTATCCCAGTTCGTCGTGGTTATTGGGGCTCTTCTCTTGGTGACCCACACACAGTGCCATCAAAAGTAACTGGAAGATGTGGTTCAGTTATTTGTCGTCTTGTTCCAGCTCCTCGCGGTACCGGCATTGTAGCTGCTCCTACTCCAAAGAAGCTTCTACAATTAGCCGGGATTACCGATTGTTACACCACGTCACGCGGTTCCACACGTACTTTGGGTAATTTTGTAAAGGCTACTTTTGCAGCAATCGGCAACACTTATGCCTTCTTGACACCCGATTTGTGGAAGGATACTAAATTTGAGCAGTCGCCATATCAAGAATTTAGTGATTTCTTGGCTGTAAGATTACTTTAATATTTATTGCTTTTGATGGTTTCGATTTTTTTTTGAATGAATTTTAAATAATATTTATTTGAACTCAATAATAGAGAGGCACTGAGAAAAGGAGAGCCTGACGCATATGTATCATTGCTAAACTTGAATAAAATGATTTTCTGATTTTGGAAGCGGTTTTAGTATTTCTATTTCACGATTCAAAAGAATGACAATACAGTGGTTCATGGAATAAATGGAACACGGAAAATTTTACGAAAAAAAAATTCTAGTGCCTCAAACATCGATTAAATATACTCATTTTAAAACTAATAATCTAGAGAATGACTAAAAAAAATATATTTAATATTGCCATTCTAAAGAAATTGAGTGATCTACATGAATATCTTTAATTAAATGAAATTTTAACTCCAATTAGTTTTGTTATCGGATTGACCTAATAAAAAATGTGCTTCCTAATGAGAACAAATTTTCATAAGATGTTGATAATACAAGTTAGTAGAATCGTGAAAAAATATACTCAAAGAACTCGTGATCATACAGTCCCACAGTTTACCCAGTAGATTCCCAACAGAAGGTTCACCGGATAACAATATATCGATAGAACCCATTTTATAGTCGTTCTAAGCATATTGAATTGTAAAATACATGGGATATAAGTGCGTATTGACTTGATTCACAAAGTCATCTGGTTATGATTTGCTTTAAAGCCACAATCTGAATAAGATTCACAGAATTTATAAGCAAAAAATGATTCTCGTTATTTTATAGTGGTAACTGTAATTGATAAGCCTTTAAGTATACGCCTGTATCACTTAATGATTAGATCTCAGCGGAAGACTTTCAACACATTGAACCCATATTATGCCAGTCATTCTTATGGGACATGGAAATTAATGAAGATCTCCGAAATATTAGAGTTGTGAAATGATTTAAGAATGCATTGAATCTACCAAGGATGACCATGAATCGAAGTGTCGATGTCATCTTAACAGGTGGTGCCGATATTTCTATCGGCCCAAGTGATACCTCTTGCCCGAACCACTTAAAAAGAAGACAAAGTTTCTTGCATCTATACCCGAAGAGGATGATGAAAGAATGGCCGACATGATCAATGATATGACGGAAAAGAAAAATGGCAAAAAAATAGAGGAACAACGATCAGTTTATCAGGCAGTTTAATGATGATTATGAAATTCACCATCAATGGTGAGGTTGTGTGTGGTCGTGCTTATAGTAATTCTTTAATCCGCTAATCGATTGTTAACGTTAATGCAAAATTTCGAATTCGAGTCTTAGATCACGAATGTTGCTGATCTTATAAAATAGGATGAGTTTCTATCACAATAATATTTTGTCTCAACCAACTCTAAATTTGGTAAATCACATACTTGTAATGTTGATCATTTGATCAACTTATTCTAATGGCTGTTAGATTTGGTAGCTTTGTATTTTGCGAGCGCAAAAGCACTAATACCCTTGCCAGAGAGTGTAATATACCTGGAATTTGCACCGAGCAAGTTCTTGAAGGTTATCAAATTTACATAGTAGAACAATGGTATAATTTATGTGGTTGTGCTTGCTTACATCTTGATTTCCTTATTTTATCATTAATTAACATGCAATCTCTTTTACTTAGGGTTTCAGATAGAAAAAAACCATATAATACCGTGACTATATTTACTGGAAATGCTGAGCACAAGGTAAGTTAATTACACTGTAGCCTCCATCGGATTTAATATCTAATTTTTCACCTTATAATTAATATAGGTTAAAGTTTGTGTTATCAACCTTGACAAAGATAAATTACAGCCATATCCTAAAAAGATCCAACAACTATTCGATAGTTTAGAACAGGACAATACCAGACCTAAAGACGTAGGTTTAATATCCCTATCAATTAATATGATGTTTGTAGTTTTTTAATATGGCTAACAAAAAATAGACTACATTTGGTACAATTATGGTCACAAATCTCAGCACATTGCCCTCATCACTTAATACGGTGCTTGTACCTGATGGAGATTATGAATTGAATATAGGAAATTTTTATATAAATCTTAATCTGAGAAAAATGGGCTGTAGTCATAGGAGGGCTCTCAGTTTAGCAGAGCCATCGTATGTATTATTAATTCTACTATATTGATGAGTTCTAACTGTTTGGTTAATATTAATTTATTTGTTTTGACTATTTATTAGAGAAGCACAACAAGAAAAATTTATTCAGATTTATAAAATTTCAACCCACATTGATTTCACTTACGCAGTTTTGGAATTGATCAAATTAGTACAAACGGCTTTATACCTTTTTGGCCTTTTTCCACCTTACTATATCGATGGACTTTTATGTGATACTACTTTAGATGCCCTGCAAACTTTTCACAATAAATTCGCATCCTCTGAGGTTGAGGTATTTAATTCTTTTTTAAATGCTGTAAATATATGAATTAAAATGTTAAACTGAGAGAATAAAGAATTTAACTTTTTTTATTTAGTTACGGAAAAATTCGATAGATAATAATCTTCTTGATCGAAGTTTGGTCGCGGTACTTTTGAGTAAGGTGATGAGCATACGTAATAAATTAGGTTCTTTAGGCTATCAGGTAGTTTCTAAAGAAAAGTTATTTGGTTTATATTAAATTAAAAACTAGTGTATACATACATATGTACATATGTATTTATACACAAATATAATAGCGTATTCTCGTGATTTTATAAGGTCGGAAAAGACCCTTTTACAGATCCAGAAGGTTTTCGAAGTGCCGTGGCTTCCTTTCAGGTATTATATTATTGAAATCTCGTGGTGGATTCTTTTTCTCGAATTAATATTCATTTAAAAATATTTTTGGAATTACAGAAAAATGCAAAAATAAATGCAACTCGATTTATAGACCAGTATACAATTGAGAAAATTAAAGTATATTTCATTTGAAAGGGTCTTTGTTTTTTTTTATCTGTGCATGTTTTGTTCCTCATTTCTTCTTCGTTTGTTATAGGTATATAAGAAATCAAAAATAGAAGATCTTTCAAATAAAGTTCTTAAAGCAAAAACTGAGGATATTACATACGGTTCTGGTAAGAATAATAAAAATGAAAAATTCGAACTTGTATGTTTTGTTTATCTATTATAACTGAAAAGTTATAACCAATCAAGCCATGAACGATGTTATCACGGATCTTGATTATTTTGCTAAAAACGTGACTTCAGGCCGACTCAAATATCTATGGAAAGGTAAAGGAAAACAAAATCATAATGAAATTGAAACGGATTGGCTTTTTAGTGGAAAAGAATTTGGAAGAAGTATTCTGCGCAATGTTTCCGACAAAACGGTATGTCAATAAAAAGCTTTTTTTGCATGATAAAAAAAACTCATAAATTTGTTTATTTCAAACAGGCAAGAACAGGAGAGGTTTTTCGTGGTTTCAAGGAAGGTGTTAATAAAAATTTTTCAAGTCTGGCGCATAGAAAATTCATACCCAGGTAAAAACGATAATTGGAATTCAAAATTTAAAGAGTCTTGATTATTTCTTTCATCTAATTAATAAACTTCTCTATTACAGAGAATTTGGATTTCCAAGACAATCTTTAATAGTTTGTAACACAATGGGTAATGCACTAGCTCAATTACTTTTTTCGTGCTTCGCATCCTAAATCATTTATTCACTTTCTTGACAGAATCTTCGAGTCATAAATCTGTTCAATATGCCATTGAAATAAGTAAATCACCTCACCTTTCTTCTAGATATCAATTGCTTGATTGCGAAGAAACAGAACTATCTCAAGATGATCAACCGATTCAACGAAGGCATTCTTTTAGCACTTTTGAGACTATCAGAGATATGCAACAGTATCCTCCCTTCCTAAAGAGATCACATTCGCTGCATTCTATCGATGAATACAGAGTCGCTATGAACAAAAATTTATTATACGAAAATATTCAAACAAATTTATTATACGAAAATATTCAAACAAATTTATTATACGAAATTTTGAAACGGAAAGTTTCTCTTTCAAAATTAGTGCAGAAACTCGAGGTATCACAACTTTTTTCTGTTCAAATGAAATTAAGAATTTTCTTAACTTTCGCTCTATACGTTAAAGGACACGTCCAACGAGTATGCAGAGCAAATTGAACAGTTCTCCCAAGCATATCAAAAACGGTTTTCCGAATATAAGGTTAGAGACTGTTAGATTATTTAACCATTATATTCTGACTCCTTTCCTTTCTAGTCCACAGAAAAAAACGCATTAGAGGTGTTTTCAAGACAACAGGCGATCGGCAAAACGATAGAACAGATCGACTTCAATAGTGCAAAGTTAAATTATGAATTGGACGTGTTGAAGGATAAACTTCAGGAAATTGAAGAATTTGTTGATACGTTTTGTTTAAAGGTAAACTGCAATGCAAGCTCGATTGTCACATTAACATTACTATTAATGCGCCAATTCATTTAGGTTCAATTCCTAGAATCGCAAATGCCCCAACCGTCACGCTTTGCTCAAATCTTGCCACGGTTTTATAATTATTTACAAATCCAATGGAATAATATTGTGGCATCACGTTTCACTAATTCTACTGATAATAGCTAAAAAGCTTTTAATCTTTTTTTATTAAATTAAATTGTAAATGCATGATGGTGATGATATAATGATTGTTGTCGTCTATTAGCACTTAATTTTTAAATTCGATATTCTATTCCATTATTATTTTTACAGATTTACCCATTTGACTAAAGATAATTTAGTCAAACAGGTATTACAAGTTAACCACATAGCCACAATATGAGAAAATCAGATTTTTTTTTGTTTACATATTTTTTTTAATGTTTTCAACTGCGCACAATATATCGATATACTATACGGAATAACTTTCTAGTTGCATCCCAAAACAATTGGAAGCTGCAACCATTGCAACAAATCCGCAGCGTGTGACCAACCAATCGACTGTGATAAGCTTTTTTCTGTGCACCTGTTGCCTAAAATAATTTGAGCTCTTTTATGAAATAAAAGGGATGGGTAAATCTACAAGAGGCAAGGGCTTCTTTTATTCCCGTAATCGACGTTTTAATCATCAAAGCTCTGGATACCCGGTTAACAAATTTAATCCCGCTTTCCCACTACAAAAAATGTCGTCTTCAATAGATAACTCGTTGAGACAAATAGGAGGTATTCCGTTGTTTTCTATGTTGCCAGAGGCGGGACTGTCTCTGGCTCAGGGTAGTAATACCAACAACGGTAATAATACCACTACTACCACTTCTACCACAAGAATAATTAATAATCTCCAAAATAATGAAATTCCGCAAGCGGTCAATGAAAACAAACCTGCTCCTGTATCGATAGTATTTCAACCTCAACCATATGAATCAAATCGAGATATTAATCCGATTTCGATTCTCAATACACTACAACATAAATTGAAATCAAACACGCCTCCGCGTTATGATTTTACTATGGCCACACCAAATGGAGGATTTTATGCTACCCTCGAGGTTTTTGGACGAACCTTTCAAACTCAAGTTATACGAGTAAAAAAGCAAGAAGCTAAAGAAGAAGTTGCCGCTCTTGCTGTCGAACACATGAATGCTCTAGTACCTGGATTAGTCGAGGAGGTTCGAAAAGAGCTGGATAAGGCCGCAAAAGCAAATGCAAAACGAAGTCAATCAAATTTGAATCGTACAGTTCGCCGTAAATGGAAAGGTTTTAATAAAGATGACGGTATTCCTAAATCCTTGATTTGGTTAAATAAACATCGTGAACCTGGACAACCTCTTAAACGTCCTTCTGTTTTGCTTCTCGAGTTTTGCCAATTTCATCATATCGATCGTCCTGTCTACACTCATGAAACTGATGCCTCAAATCGATTTATGTTCTCGGTCAAAATTGGCGAACGTAATTTCCGTCCAACTTTGGCATTTTGGAATAAGAATGATGCAAAAGATCACGTTGCTCAAATTGCCTTCGATCACATTTACAGAGAGCAACTGGAAATTGAAACCAAGAATATTGGGAATGATTCATTACAAAGTCAAGAAGTTTTATATCAGCCACTCCCAATTCGACAAAATGAGGGAGTTCCTATTCAATATCCTTCATTTTCTGTCGGTGCTAATACTAGCGGACCACCTTCACCTAATCCAGAAAATGTTGAAACAACACAAGTCAAAACAGAATCTGGCCAAACAGCAATGACACCAACAATACCAACAACAGCCATATCATCAGCTTCAACTTCAACATCTACTCTAAATCCTGTGTACGAATCGATCGCAAGTCAAAATCAGGTAAACGACAGTTCGCATTCTAACGACGAAAAATCAAGTGGACATGAAATACTATTTCATCCGACCGTAATCGCAAATCAACTTGGACCACCACCGAAAAGCGAAATTATGGAGAAGCTTACCAGTAATCAAACGAATCTCCCTTATCAACCCAATTCTGGATATATGCAAATTATGACAACGTTACCTCCACAACCAGCAAACAACTTTTTTAATCCGTACACTCACTTTCACCATCCATACATCAATCCCACGGCTTACAGTGTTGTTCCTATGAATCCACCTCCTGTCCAAACCGACTATAAAAGATACGTGAGCAGACTCTATGAACTCGCTCAGTCTAAGAAGTGGGAACCCCCAGTGTACAGTTATACAAATGTATACGGTGGGTTCATTGGTGAAGTAGTGATATGTGATAAAAGCTTCCGAGGTACTAAGGCATGTGCACGAAAAGCAGATGCTAAAGAGGATGTATCTGAGCACGCATGGAAATATTATGCAGACAATCCCCACGCATCATAAAATAAATGGTGAGGGGACTGATATGAGCTATTGTGATCGCGAAGAATTGTTTGACAATTGTAATATATTTATCTAGCTATTCGTATTTTTGGTAAAAGATAATTAAGGGGGGAAAATTTGACTAAAATCACCAAATTATTCCTCTTTAGTTTAATTCTGTCAAGCAATATTTTCTCGACAACGAAAACATGCGTAGAGTTTTATTTTTCCTTTATCACAAAAGCTCATATCTACATTCCCTTTTTATCTTTTCTCTCTAGAATTACTTGAAAAGCGGTGCTCTATGGTAAAATTATTTACATCACATCGCCGCTTTTCCTACTTTTAGATGATGGATAAATTTTATAGTTTATATTTTTCCTTTCTTTACTATTTTATTATTTTATATTTTTCTTAAATTAAAGAAGACGAACTGGGGTTGTTTGCATTATATTATCATATCTTCGTCGTCATCATAAAATAAAAGCTTCCCCAGTAAGTTTAATCTTTGCTTTCAAGTAATCCATCAAGGCAGTAGCGTGACCTTCTATATCGTGAAGGACACTGTTGCTTGCCCTGGTAATCACGTCCTCTTACGTTGCTCTCTTATTCGTTGGAAAAAAACGATGGTGGGGAACGCTTGATTACATACAACCTACATCATGGCAGGTTTCTTGTTATTGCCATATTCAGATATCTGCCCTGATTTCGGTCTATCGAATCCTTGTTACATTCATCTACTAATCACATATTTGCGTGTTTGGTTGGTTTGTTTATACTGGGTTTCATAAATCCGATATTTGCATCTATTTACGCAGGATTTTTGAAATCAATTGTATTCGTGCTTGATGATTGCATGATTGCCCTGCTTTTTTTTGAAGATTAGGTTTCTAACTTGGGAAGCTATTTATGCATGTTATTGAGATCAAGGAGCGAGAAAAAGCGGACGATGTGTTAGTTGAACCTCCGGCTGAGTCAAGAATTTTATTAACGGCAATCAATAAGTTAAAAAAATTAACATTGGAATACAAAATTTTCTTAATTGAATCGAAATTATCATGAAATAATAAGACAAAACAAATATTAAATTTTCGTAATAATAAATCTGGGTATAAGAGAATCTATAAATCAAAGACCTATTCAATAAACTAAAAAATAAATAAGCGACCAACTTATAACGTCTAATTTTTATCAGACAGCGAACGATAAAATGCATTATGAGAATTTTCAAGGTCAAACAAGAGCTGGCGAACTTGCTCATCGTTGAGTTCGTCGACCGCCTTCATAGAATTCAAGGTGATCAACCAATTCCTGATCTTTGCTTTTCCTTCGAAATCTGCAGGCAACGAACTCACTTTGTTCAAACTTTGCATTAACTCACTAAGCATCGGATGAATATCGTCCACGGCTTTATATTTTAATTTAAGCGCGTCCATCGAAGTTATGAAATGCTATAGTAGAAAAAAGGATTAGCAAATAAGAACGATCCGAGACATGCATAAAAGTACAAACAAAAATTGCAAATTTTCTTTCGCACCTGCACAGTTTCGGCGACATATTTTGCTGATTTGCTGGAATCGTGATCTGTTGGACCTGAATGTTCAATAGTGGCAGGCACACCAATTTTGATACGATTAAATGCAGCTGGACATTCAAGCTAAAATAAGACAATCAGATGATGATGTAAAGAAAATAAATAAATTAAAGCAAGCACTCCCTTCTTACCTTGTAATCATTCATGAATTTTTCTACATCGGACACAGAATCACTCACCAAGTTCAATGCCGTCTTGTACTGTGCTATCAACTTCGCACAAGCCGGTGTATATCTGAAAATCAACAACAGTGATCAGAAATATATCAAAGGAAGCCTCTTCTCTAAATATCCTACGACCGCTTACTCTGCTGCCGTAATAGAATCCCTAATGTACGCTTTCTCCAAGTGTTCCATGGTAACTATAATAGCGTACAAATCAGCAAGATTTTCATACTTTTCTCTGTCCTTGTTGTTTGTATAAAGTCTAACTTCCTATTCAAAGCATGTTACATGAACAAATTAATAAACAAACGAAATCTATTATAAAGAATATTTGAAAATTACCTCGTCAAGCGACGAATCTATCATGAAAGAAAGTAAGTCGAATAGAAAATTGAGGCCTTTCATTCAAAATGAAATAAATGCGTGTTGAGTAAGCTTAAGCTAGGCTTACTATGCTCTGTAGGCATTTCGTTTCTCGGCGGTGTTGATCCATAGGTTAAGAAACTAAAGCCGGTTTGCGGTATTTGCATTTTATCGATTTTCTGCGGGAGCAAGATCTACAGCTTGACGAGGAGGAATTTCGTAATGAAAAAGTGTGGTCCTACTTTCCTCAAGACGAACAAGAATACTTAGGATTAGGGTTGTAACAGCATAAGTTCTTATGAACGTTGCTAAAAAACTAATGATTTTATACCTGAGTTCAAGGTATAAATAAACACGTATGGAAATTGCAAGGTAAAATCTCTTATGTTCAGGTTTTTGTTAACGTTTATGTTGTCATGTGAACAATGATCGTGAGACTTTATCGAATGTATGGTGCCCCACTTAGACCCGACAATCATGTGATATTGTTTCAATTTTTCCGAAAGGTTTCTCACGATCGATCTACCAATAAAAATCGGTATATGTCATGTGATTTTATGATGAAAAAATTTAAGCTATGAAGTACTTAATTACGTTTGGGAGAGAATGGCCAAGAAACATAACTAAGCGCATTATTTATGATTTATTAATGTTCTTGTTCTATATATTCCTCTATATTATCCGGAAGTCATCGGTGAGACTTGAACTTCTTTACTGCTCATTTCGCCACTCTGCCTTCTAAGTCTTTATGATACACATCCGACAAACTTACGTATTACAGTTATAGGAACAGAGTTTAGAACTTCTGGCACTGTTTGTAACAAATTTGTCTATGTATAATGGCATCTTTTTCTTGTTTCCCGCTTGGCATATCTTCAATATCTCTTTATGAAGTTACATTTATAGTGAAACTTTGGATATTTTTCAATAATATAACCCATTTTTTCTACAGTCTTCTCCAATACTGACTTTTGATCAACAAAATTAGACTGCAACATCATTATTCTTCTTGTATAGCAATTATACCTCTCTGAATCCTCCTTCCACTTCATATACTTTTCACATAATAATTTCAACTCTTCTCTCCATAATTCTTACTTCAAAAGAATTTTTTTGATTTCTTTTGGCTTATCTCTGGATGATTCTCATCAAAAACTATCTGTTGAATAATTATTTGGCCAATTATTATAATAAATCATCCATTACATATTTGTAATTGTTGATCTCTAGGTGATAAATTCATTTTTGATGTTATTAACACATCTTTTGTCATGATATTATGATTGGTTAATTGATCAAAATAGAAAATATCAATGTATCTGAAATGTAAAATTTCAAGTATTGATATTATTCAGTTGTGAAGTTGATCTATCATATGTTCTGATTTTTAGTAACTATTTGCTTGGATAGATCTTAAGACATACATTTTCTAATGTTAAATCTGTAAATGATATTGTATTTCTTTTTTAGTTAATTATAAAGGATCATGACATAGACAAAAAAAGTCTGATATCATAATTAATCTTTTTATGTGCTTTGGCTAGAGAATATTTTTCTTATCTAATATTCATATAGTTTTTTAATTATTATTTAAATAAAAATAGTATTTGTCATGTGTAATTATGACATATTTTTTTTCACTTGAATTAAAAACTGATTCTATAATCTGATTAAGATCATTATTATCAAAATTCTTCATTAATTTCTTATATATAAATATTTTTTTTAGCTATTCTTTTCTATATTTCACAATATTTAATTACTCATGATCATTATAAAATACTTTTTTTCTTATCTTATCATATTTAAAGCTTTACAGATATATAGTTTTATTCTTCTGATTTTTGTTGATACAATTATTTTTTATATATTTTTGTAAAATCTTCATTATTCAGATAACTCTTAATTTTAATATGTTTATCTTATTGATATATTGATAGTTTACCCATTTCAAAAAAATAATCATTTCAATTTCTTATATATTATGATATATATATTTTTTTATTCCACATTTTCTAAGTAATTTGAAAACTTGTACTTATTTTTTTCTTTTCATCCAATAAATATTCCAAGTATTTTTAAATACTTAATAAGTACACATAATTATAAGTAAATACTTTGATATTTAATATTACTAATTTTATTAAATTACATAACATATTGAATTTATTAATCTATTATTTTATTATTAGTATACTATCTAATTATACTTCATTTTTAACTTTCTTTTCTAAAGATAATATAAGATTTTTATTCTTCAACACAAGTTTTTCTAAAAATACAAGATAAGAATTTAGTTTTTTGTATTATTTTGTATATTTTTTATTTTTTCTTGTACTTTTTGCTTTTTTCAAGTAGTTATTTATGATATATTATTATAGTTACTCAAAAATATCTTAGTAATACTTCATTCAATAATTTTTTTAATTTATTTAAAATTTTTCAAGTTAATATTTATCTATTCAAATTCTTCTATTTTTTTATCACTTTCACTAATATAAAATTTACTCTTTTTACATAATTTTTGATATGTATCTTTCTTTCATTTAATAAGTAATAGTATTTTTTATAAAATATAATTTTTAGATATATTTTATATAATATACTCTTCTACCATATAATATATACTTCCAGACTTAATGTATTATAAATTAGAATAATTTAGATTAGTATTATTTTCTAGCCTAAATTAGATTAATGCTAGTCAATAAAATCAAATTCATATAATAAAATAATATTTTAATTTTTAATAAAATATATAAAAAGTAATCAAGTTTAAGTACTTATAACTTTTTATATAAGAATTTTTTAAAAAATCTGATTTGTAATTTAATAAAGCTTATCTCAAAGAATAATATTACTAATTTAGTTTTTCTAAATTTTCTCTCTATAAAATATTG